GAGACTGACATAACCTGAGGACTGTCTGTACTGAAATGTGCAGTTTTGCATAATTGGTACCTTTCTGTACATTATGGTGTCAACTTTTTTCAGTCAACATTATGATATGAACATGTTTTCATGTCAACAGATATTAGGATTTTCATTTCTATATAAAGTCTCATTCTTATTTGTTGTAATTTACCAGTGAATCTTCAAGTTGAGAAACATTGTGTTTTCATGTCTGTGGTTGACACAAACTGTATAAATAAAACCTGGCATAAATATTTGCCTTTGGGGAAAGAGAATTTTGGTTATATAATTACTAGAGGCCTGGTGCACGACATTCGTGTGCTGAGGGATAGAGGGGCCCTCAGCCCAGCCTGCAACTTCTTGCAGTCCAGTACCCCTCGGGGGATGTCCAACTACCGGCTTAGGGAGCGGGCCTAAGCTGGCAGTCGGACATCCCCCAAGGGGTCCTTAGCGCTGCCACAGAGACAAGAGAGGCTCCCGCCATTGCACTCGCCTGCCGTTAGCCCAGCTTCTGGCTGAGTGGCATTCCTCCTGTGGGAGTGCACAGACCACCAGGAGGCAGCTCCTGCATTTACTGTCTACCCCTGGTGGTCAGTGCACGTCATAGTGACCAGTCATTCTGCCGTTTGGTCGATTTGCATATTAGCATTTTATTATATAGGATTCTAAAACGTCTCTTTACTTGATAGGTGGGTCTTCAAACAACTTTATGATAAAGGCCTTGTTTATAGAGGTATGAAAGTCATGCCTTTTTCCACTGCATGCAACACTCCACTTTCTAACTTCGAATCTCACCAGAATTACAAGGTATGTAAAAGATCCTTGGGCATTCAGTTACGTTCTGGAAGGTAAAAGGTGTGGTGACCAAGGTAACAGTCCTAATGTAGAGTGTCAGCCAAGGGAGTGTTGTTAATTTGATCATTCATCCTGCATGTTGGTAATGTTGTCAGTCACTGAACCAAGGCTCTGTTAAATTTAAAAACAAGGGATCTCTCCTCCCAACCCCTCATGAGATTTGTTAATGATGTGTCTTAATGTCATAGGTTTTGCTTGTTTTGACCAAGTTTGTGCTTCTCTTGGGTTTACAAGTTCATCTCTGCCCTGTTTCCCTCCACTCACTGTTTCACAGGGGTTGTTGGTTTTGGTGATTTTTATCACTCATCTAGGATCTCATAGTTCATTTATTTGGGAAAAATTCTGATTGGGGATTGGTGCACAGTATTTTATTTTATTTTATTTTTTTGGTGCACAGTATTTTAATCTTTTCTCTAATAAATGGAATTTTCTGTCGTTGGTATGATAGAAGACTTTAGACTCTTTATCTAGCACTTTATAAAGTACTAGAGGCCCGGTGCATGAATTTGTGCACCATTGGGGTCCCTCAGCCTGGCCTGCAGTATTGGGCTGAAACTGGCTCTCCAACATCCCCCAAGGGGTCCCGAATTGCAAGAGGGCACAGGCCAGGCCATGGGACCCCACTGGTGCCGATCGGGGCTGTGGAGGGTCGCGGGAGGTTGCCCAGCCATGGAGGAACCTTGGGAGAACTCCAGGGCATGTCCAGCCTGTCTCGCTCTTTCCCAATTGGCCGACCCCAGCATCAAGCTAACCTACCAGTTGGAGCATCTGTCCCCTGGTGTCAGTGCCCATCATAGCGACTGACTGGTCGACTGTCTGCCCCTGTTGGTCAGTGCATGTCATCGCGAGTGGTTGAGAGGCCTTAGCATATCATTAGCATATTACCCTTTGATTGGTTGAATGGACAACTAGGCATTTAGCATATTAGGCTCTTATTCTATAGGATACTCCTTTACCTTATCTAGAAAGATAGTAAAAGAAGTAAGTCTTCTGAAACTATCTGTGACCTATATGTTCTCATGTGTGTGTATCTGTGTGTATCTAAGAGGTGATTTCATTTCTAAAATTTATCTAACCCCTTTTGTTTTTAAAGTAAATTGATTTTAGGGGGGAAGTCTTACTTCATAGCTCAAATTTGAAAATATTAAAACTTGCATTCTGAAAGCACTTTGTATATTATAGAATGCTTTTCATACATTCAATTTGATCCTTGCAAATTCTGCTGAGATGGACATGATTTCTGTTGTCTCCAAATATGCTTCAATGACAGTGCTCATATTGTGCTATATTTTTTTAATAAAATATTTTAAGTACATACAAATGTAGAGAATTACATCCTAAGCACATTAACACATGGCAGATCAGTAGTTTTTTGCTAGCTTTACCCAGTGGCCAGATAAGTTTCTATTGAACGAGTACAAAAAACGTTTTACATAAATGTTAAAGGTAAGCTTTAAATTAAATACCCATTGCATTTTGAAGTTATTTATTACATGTTCTTACAAACTAATATCTTTTTAAAGTATGATACTTTGTAAAACACTGTGTAATAGGAAGTGAGAATTCTCATGATCTGTCCACAATGTCTTAACATAGTACCGTTATCTTTCCTAAAAACGTCATGACTAGTCATTCTTAATAGTAAATACTTTATAACTTTTAAATTCTGGATATAATTGATGTTCATATTTCTCTTTGTCTCATAAATATCATACCATTTGTCCCTCAGTTATATATATATATTTTAAATTAAATTTTTATTGTTCAGATTATTACAGTTGTTCCTCTTTTTCCCCCCCATAGCTCTCCTCCACCCAGTTCCCACCCCACCCTCTGCCCTTACCCCCCCCCCCCACTGTCCTCATCTATAGGTGTACGATTTTTGTCCAGTCTCTTCCTGCACCCTCACACCCCTTTCCCCCCAAGAATTGTCAGTCCACTCCCTTTCTATGCCCCTGGTACTATTATATTCACCAGTTTACTCTGTTCATCAGATTTTTTATTCACTTGATTTTTAGATTCACTTGTTGATAAATATGTGTTTGCTGTTCATAATTTTTATCTTTGCCTTTTTCTTCTTCCTCTTCTTAAAGAATACCTTTCAGCATTTCATATAATACTGGTTTGGTGGTGATAAACTCCTTTAGCTTTTTCTTATCTGTGAAGCTCTTTACCTGACCTTCAATTCTGAATGATAGCTTTGCTGGATAAAGTAATCTTGGTTGTAGGTTCTTGCTATTCATCACTTTGAAAATTTCTTGCCACTCCCTTCTGGCCTGCATAGTTTCTGTTGAGAAATCAGAAATATATTTTTTTTTTTTTAAATATATTTTATTGATTTTTTACAGAGAGGAAGGGAGAGAGATAGAGAGTTAGAAACATCGATCAGCTGCCTCCTGCACATCTCCCACTGGGGATGTGCCCGCAACCCAGGTACATGCCCTTGACCGGAATCGAACCTGGGACCTTTCAGTCCGTAGGCCGACGCTCTATCCACTGAGCCAAACCGGTTTCGGCAGAAATATATTTTTTATTGATTAAGATATTACATATGTGTCCTTATACCCACGTTACCCCCTACCCCCCCCCCCCGCTCATGCCCCCACCCCCCCCCGCTGGCCGTGTCCATTGGCTAGACCTACATGCTTGCATGTTAGTACTTTGGTTGATCTTTCCCCCTTACCCCCACCCTCCCCTACCTTCCCTCCAAGGCCCGACAGTCCAATCAATGCCTCTCCGTCTCTGGATCAGTCCTTGTTCATCAGTTTATGATGTTCATTATATTCCACAAATGAGTGAGATCATGTGGTATTTATCCTTCTCTGACTGGCTTATTTCACTTAGCATAATGATCTCTAGTTCCATCCATGGTGTGGCAAATGGTAAGAGTTCCTTTTTCTTCTTCCTCTTCTTAAAGAATACCTTTCAGCATTTCATATAATGCTGGTTTGGTGGTGATGAACTCCTTTAGCTTTTCCTTACCTGTGAAGCTCTTTATCTGACCTTCAATTCTGAATGATAGCTTTGCTGGATAAAGTAATCTTGGTTGTAGATTCTTGCTATTCATCACTTTGAATATTTCTTGCCACTCACTTGTGGCCTGCATGGTTTCTGTTGAGAAATCAGCTGACAGTCGTATGGGTACTCCCTTGTAGGTAACTGACTTTTTTTCTCTTGCTGCTTTTAAGAGTCTCTCTTTGTCTTTTGCTCTTGGCATTTTAATGATGATGTGTCTTGGTGTGGTCCTCTTTGGATTCCTTTTGTTTGGGGTTCTCTGTACTTCCTGGACTTGTAAGTCTATTTCTTTCACCAGGTAGGGGAAGTTTTCTGTCATTATTTCTTCAAATAGGTTTTCAGTATCTTGCTCTCTCTCTTCTTCTGGCACCCCTATAATTCGGATGTTTGTTTGCTTGAAGTTGTCCCAGAGGCTCCTGACACTATCTTCACATTTTTGGATTCTTTTTGCTTTTTGCTTTTCTGGTTGGGTATTTTTTGCTTCTTCATATTAGAAATCTTTGACTTGATTCTTGGCATCCTCTTATCTGCTGTTGGATCTCGGTATATTATTCTTTATTTCAGTCAGTGTATGCTTAATATCTAGTTGGTCTTTTTCATATCCTCAAGGGTCTCACTAAATTTATCGGCGGTTTCTAGAAAATTCTTGAAAAACGTTATTACCGTGGTTTTGAACTCTATATCCAGTCGTTTGCTTTCCTCCATTTCTGTCATTTGTGACTTGTTTCTTTGTCTCCACTTTTTTTATGCTTCTCTGTGTTGGTAGAGTGGCTTTCTGTGCTAGGTGTCCTATAGGGCCCAGTGGCTCAGCCTCCCCAATTACCTGAGGTGGACACTCTTGGTGCACCCCTTTCTGGGCTTTGTGCACAGTCTTGTTGTAGTTAAGCCTTGATTGTTGTAGTTATCACTGGGAGGAATTGACCTCCAGGCCAATTGGCTGTGAGAGTCAGCTGTGTCTACAGTGGGAGAACTTCTGTGCTGAAGACACCCTTATGAGGCAAGACTTGCTTCAGTGGGGCTTTGGTGCTCACTGAGTCTGCCCCCTGAGTGTGTCCCTTATGGATCTGAGGAGTTGTAATTGAATGGTCCCAGTCTGACCACTGGGTACACTGGCTCTTGGATCTCTAAGGAGGTGCCAATTTAGCCTCTCCCTGAGGCTACCCAGCAGGAGCTACGAAGAGATCTGGAGATTCCTCTTCTTTGTTTGGGGTTTGGAGGTGCCCAGATGAGGCCCAGCTGTGAAGCAATGCAAGCTGCTGTGGAGCCTTGGGCCTTCTCTTGGAAGTTCTGGGTCTGTCTGGCCCAGCTGCAGTTTGTTAGGTAATTTTCAGATTGCAAAGGGCTAGGGCATTCATATGCAAAAGCCTCTGCTGGCAGCTTGGGTGGGGCGGGGTCTCAGGGAATCAACAGGGCGGAGCAAACAGCTATGGCTGATCCTCAGCCCTGCCCTAAGGGGCCCCCGCGTCTCAGTGTCCTGGTAATTGCTGCAAGCACCCTTTGAGAGAAAGCCGCCCTGGAGTTCTGAGTTCTGCTCACTGCCAGGACAGTCAAGTTCTTTCCGTATGAGTCCTGGGTTCTCAGAGACTTCCTCAGACTGGAGTTCAGAGCAGTCAGGAGCTTGTGACTTCCTCCCGATTCAAAAAGACAGCCGCGTCCTCAGTTGCCAACCCTTGCCGTGTGAGCCTCCGTACCTCTGCACTTTACTTCCGCAGCTCCTCTGAGTCTCAGTGTGCTTTTCTCTTTCCTTCTAGTTGTAGAATTTCCACTCAGCCAGCCTTCCTGTAGTTCTGGATGATGTCTGTTTTGTCTTTTAGTTGTATTTTTGAAGTTGTTGTGGGAGGCAGCAATTTCCGGTGTTTACCTATGCCGCCATCTTGGTTTCTCCCCTCAGTTATATTTTATTTTGAGTTTTTTTTAAAAGTCAGGATCTGCCGAAACCGGTTTGGCACAGTGGATAGAGCGTCGGCCTGCGGACTGAAGGGTCCCGGGTTCGATTCCGGTCAAGGGCATGTGCCTGGGTTGTGGGCACATCCCCAGTAGGAGATGTGCAGGATGCAGCTGATTGATGTTTCTCTCTCATCGATGTTTCTAGCTCTCTATCCCTCTCCCTTCCTATCTGTAAAAAATCAATAATATATATTAAAAAGAAATTTTTTTTGGTGTGTTATAAGTTCTTCATGTATATGGTGTTTCCGAATGACTCGTACTTAGATTTTTTAATAAAGAATAACTTTTCCTAAACAGTTATTTTGTTGGTGTGTTGTATCGCAAATCAGCTAGCTGGACAAGACGCCTAATGAGCCAATTAGTTAGGAGTCATCTTTATTGCGTGCAGGTTCAGAACAGATTACTACCTCTGTCAAATTCTGAACACTCAAAGGAGGAAGCATTTTCTTTTTATATTCTTTTAGGTCCTTGTGTAAATTATTTTTACAGACAATTTGTAACTTTGAGTATATATCATATCTAACAAACACCTGTCATATCTATACAGACAGTTTTGTAATCTTGAGTACATATCTAGACACCTGTAACCTTGGATGAACAAACACTTGGCATGAGTATATGAGAATTATTATCAATACTAGTAGCCTGGTGCATGAAATTCTTGCACTGGGGAGCGGGGGAAGGAGCCCCTCAAGTCTGGCCTGCACCCTCTCCAATCCAGGACCCCTCGGGGAATGTCCGATTGCTGGTTTGTGCTCGCACTTTTAACAGATTACAGCTCCATTGTTGTTTGTTTCTTCTCATGCTTAAACCCATTGGAATTAGTAGGTATTCAAAGTGTGTATACATTTTGGGGGGACACCCTGTATATCTCTAGTCAGCAGTGAAAGGAAGCAATGCGGATTTGGAACCCCCAGACAGGGAACCTCGCTCACTCCCCCCATGTCTCCCCACTTCACTTTCCACCTTCGCGGGCAGCGGGAGAATCAATGTTTTCTCTCATTAACTCGGAAAAGCATGTCCTGTCACCCGCTGCCCGGCAGGAGTGCGCTAGGCCCCAAGCAAGCAAGGCTCAGTCAGGGCAGTCTTTGCTCATGGGCGCCGGCACCCAAAGTGCACGTTCCTCCTCTGCAGTCGCCCCAACTATCCCACTGTTTCACTGAGAGGACGGAACTCCTCGCCACCTCTGGGCTCTTAATCTTGAATGCTGACTGAAGGTACCTCAGCGAGGGCCGCCCGTGCCCACCAGGTGTGTCTGTCTGCATCTTTTCCCGCCTCAGCACCTGCATTAACCCCCCAGAGGTGATCTTGTCGCTGCACTGGCCTCCGTGGGAACAGGGCGTCACCACTCCACCCTCTCACTGTTATCTCATAGGCGCCCACCCCGAGCACCCAGAACACCCAGACTCTCTCCAAAGGACGTGAGCATGTTGGAGGGGATGTGTGCACTTCCTGTGGGGGACTTAGGCATGCTGGGTTTGATGGAAGTGCGGCAGAGGGGCGGGGGGGAACTTGTGTGTGCCTTGGTCTGCAACTGTTGCAAGTGCACGACGGTGACAGCGTGCTGGGGGATGTTTGCATGCCAGGAGGGGAGGAGAGGATGTGCGCACTGGAGGCCTGTGGCTTTCGCAGATCCGCAAACCCCTGTGGCGGGGCCAGGAGGATGTCAATCTGGCCTGCCACGGTGGTTGTCCCTGCAATTGCACACCTTCTGGGCCAGGAGGTGGGACTTGTTCAGACACTCGGTGCTGATGTCCTGTAGGCGCTATTTCAGCTCAACCCTCAGGCTCTGCTTGGCGCGCTCACGGCTGCCAACGCAGCCATGTGGCGAGTACAGGCCGCCCTCCACCGGCCTGTCTCCCCTGCTCAGAGGCTCTCAGCATGCTGCCCACAGGCCTAGAGCGGCCTGGGCGGGGCAGTACGCCAGCGAGTACTGCTCACCTGCCCGGAGTGACCGGGGCTGGGCGGAAGCCAGGCGTCCTGCCCCTCCCAACCCCCCTGCCGCTCCACCCCTGTGCGTGCTGCCCACTGGCCTGGATGGGCTGGGGCGGAGCTCGGTGCCTGTGCACATGAGTGCTGCCCACAGGTCCGCCATCTTTGTCAGGTTAATTTGCATATCACTCTGATCGGCTGGTGGGCGTGGCTTAAGCGTAGGGAGGGATGGCTAATTTGCATGTTTCTCTTTTATTATTAGAGATCAGTGTATCAGCCCCTTTAAAATATATATTTTATTGATTTTTTTACAAAGAGGAAGGGAGAGGGACAGAGAGCTAGAAACATCAAAGAGAGAGAAACATCGACGAGAGAGAAACATCGATCAGCTGCCTCTTTTTTTTTTTTTTTATTAAGCCAGATGTAATAATTTTATTTTATTTCTTTTTATTTTTCGCTAAAAGTATTACAAAGGGTATTACATAAGTGTCCTTTCCCCCCCCCCCACCCTTGACAAGCCCCTGCCCTCCCTTACCCCCCAGTGTCTTATGTCCATTAGTTATGGTTATATGGATGCATACAAGTCCTTCGGTTCGATCAGCTGCCTCTTGCACACCTCCTACTGGGGATGTGACCGCAACCAAGGTACATGCCCTTGATCGATATTGAACCTGGGACCTTTCAGTCCACTGGCCGATGCTCTATCCACTGAGCCAAACCGGTTAGGGTATGTATCAGCCCCTTTACATGGCTAGCTTGCAAGGTCAGTTAAATTTATCTTTTCTATTATTCAAGCCAAAAACAAAGTTATTTTACAATCTAAAAATAACAGAGTTGACCTACAGAATAAGAGACTAAGAATAACAGAGTAGTTCAAACAGCAGTTTCAAACAGCAGTTTTTCCAAAGGAGGGACCACTATGCTTCAGGTGTACCACTTTATGAACTTATTATGAAATAGATCATTGTAATAGTGAAACCTTCATTATATATCCATATTGATACACTTAAAATGTTTTATCTGTGACTACAGTCATGCTCTGCTTAAGTTTCTGTTCAGTACATTTGTCCTTGCAAGAACATCAGAGTACATGTACACAAATCTAGATGGTACAACCTATTACATACCTAGACTACATGGTATAGCTTATTGTTCTTTAGGGGTAGAAAAATAATTTCCCTCTACCCTCCTGGGTTCTTGGCTCAAATACCCTGTAATAAAAGATTAACAGGAGAAAAAAAGATTTAAATAGCATGTATACCTTCTATATACATGGTAGATACCTTGGAAAACTGAGTAACTTGCCAAAATTCAGCTGAAGGCCAGAGATGTTGGGGGTGGGGGCGGGGAGTCAGTTGTGGGAGGTTATCAGGAAAATCACAGCAAACAAAAGTAAGGTTGCTAAGTAGATTTACATAGCTTCCTGCATTGATAAAAGTTTCTAATGATAAGTTCTTCCTCTTCCTGACACCCTTACAAGTGGAGATTCCTCTTACAAATGTAAATGTCTTTTACAAAAAGCTAACTTCTTAGTTTTCAGAGCTTCTCCCATATCTGCTGTTTCCTGTGTTAATCGACAAATTCTCTTTCCCTACAATTCCTAGGCTACATGCTGTATACCAGGGGTGGGCAAACTTTTTGACTCTAGGGCCACAATGGGTTCTTAAACTGGACCGGAGGGCCGGAACAAAAGCATGGATGGAGTGTTTGTGTGAACTAATATAAATTCAAAGTAAACATCATTACATAAAAGGGTATGGTCTTTTTTTTTTTTTTTTTTTAGTTTTATTCATTTCAAAGGGCGGAATCCGGCCCGCGGGTGGTAGTTTGCCCACGGCTGCTGTATACACAGCATGTTACTATACTGAACATTGTAGACAATTGTAAGGCAATGCTACTAAGCGTAACCAGACAATCAGTGGGCCCATGCTGCCTGTCACTCCTTGAGCCAATTAAGCAGAGACAGGGTTGAATCATATATGAGCCTTTATTCCAATACTTCCAGCAGTATGGGAGAGCAGCAGGGCAACCACAAAAATCTGTTCTCCCCCCCCCCCCCCCCCATAAACCAGCTGCTTATATAGGGTAGGACAAGGATTACATGGAGAAGTAGGGATTACAGGCCTGGGAAAGTAGGAGGCTGGGGTGGGACTCCATTGTTTGGACAGTAAGGCAGTTAATCTTTCCATGATGATAGGCAATTCTTGAATGAGAATGGTTCCAAGGTTGACTCCCAGGGCCTGGGAGCATACAACTCCCAGCCAGGTCAGAAAGTCCTTTCTTTAACCAACACAAGGAATCATGGTTAACAGAGCATGATTAATATTTCCCATAACCAGAGCTAGTCCCCAATGTTCTATTTCTGCCCCTAACATAAGTACTTGTGTAATACATTGCCTTATGACCTTAGGGAACGTATGGCATCATTAGCCTAGTCCAGTGATGGCGAACCTATGACACGCGTGTCAGAGGTGACACGAGAACTCATTTTTTTTGGTTGATTTTTCTTTGTTAAATGGCATTTAAATATATAAAATAAATATCAAAAATATAAATCTTTGTTTTACTATGGTTGCAAATATCAAAAAATTTCTATAAGTGACACGGCACCAGAGTTAAGTTAGGGTTTTTCAAAATGCTGACACGCCGAGCTCAAAAGGTTCGCCATCACTGGCCTAGTCTATAGCAATTTTTCAGCTCCATTATAATCTTAAGGGATCACCACCATATCTTCAGTCCATTGATCATAATGTCATTATGCAATGTGTAATTGTTAAAACTTTTAAAGTATACTAAAAAATATATTTGGAATTTCTTGATTTATATTTTTTTTATAAATGTGGCAAATGGTTTTTTAAAAGCTCAATTTATTCTGAAAATCTTTTATTCTTTAGGATTATTTTCTTTTTCTTTAATGTTTGTTGTTATGGATTTTTTTTAAAAAATACTTTGTCTCATTTTATTTGAGGACGTTCAAGATCCTTCAGTATTTGTTACCTTTCCTTTGGAGGAAGACGAAAATATATCTTTGGTTGCTTGGACAACTACTCCCTGGACTCTGCCTAGTAACCTTGCCCTCTGTGTTAATCCGGATATGCAGTATGTCAAGATTAAAGGTACATGTGAGCTTGGTGACTTATGATTAACATGGATATGATAATTATTAACATTTTGGGAAAGAGTAAACATAACATTTTTTTGTGGAGTAAAGAGTAATCTGTAAAGAGTTTTGTTGTTTTGTTTTCATTGCTAATCTGTTAAAGAACAATTCAGCCAACTAAAGTTGAAGGTCTAATTGGCTTTTATAAGTGGGCAGCATCCCATCTAGCAAGTAGAAGGTTGCTGCTAAGGATAGTACAAAATGAAGCATTTTTATAGGAAGAGGAGTAGGGCAAGGAGAGCTATTAGGGAAAGAAAAGAAAGGATTATTTTTACACCAGGACATCTGTTTGCTATGTGTGTATTTTTTGAGGAAGCTAATAGCAAAGGTTTTTGTTTGTTTGTTTGTTATTCAGATTGCCTCCTTTTCCTTTGGGGTGGATATGGTGAGAGTCTCTGCCACAGATTACCTCATTGGTGTTGATCAGAAAACTCCAGACTTGTTGATTAATGTTGTTTTTGGGAGAGGTTGAAACAATTGGATCAAATGATAAACCTGGGTTTGGTATCATGGGCTTTTAGCATGAGTGAGGCCATTTTGGCTCTGTGCTTTTCTTTTTGACAGATTAAAAATATAGCATACCAAAAAGCAAAATAGTGCAGATATACAAAGTAAAAATTCCTTTATAATTTTCTGATTTTAGCATACTTTTGCACGTCATGCCCCCATTATAGATGAAGTATTGAAGGTTCAGAGAGCTGGCATCTCATCATTCCTAGGAATCTCTAATGTGTGTGGGTTGCTTGTTTTTTCATCTTCACTGAGCATGTGTTTAGAGAGCAGAAGGGCAAGAAGAGAGACAGACGGGGTGGGCGGGGGGCGGGGAGAGAGAGAAATATTGATCAGTTGCCTCCCATATGCACCCGACTGGGGATGGAACCAACAAACTTTGGGTGTAAGGGACTACGCTCCCCCCAAATGAGCCACTCAGCTAGGGCTCTGATGTGTGTTTTTTATCTTTATTTTTATTTATTTTTTTAAATATATTTTTATTGATTTTTTACAGAGAGGAAGGGAGAGGGATAGAGAGTTAGAAACATAGATGAGAGAGAAACATCAACCAGCTGCCTCCTGCACACCTCCTACTAGGGATATGCCCGCAACCAAAGTATATGCCCTTGACCGGAATCGAACCTGGGACCCTTCAGTCCACAGGCCGATGCTCTATCCACTGAGCCAAAACACCACCAAGCAATTTACTCAATTCAGATACTAGCTGTGATAAAAACTCTCAGCAAGGTGGGAATAGAAGGATCATACCTCAACATAATAAAAGCCATATATGACAGGCCCACAGCCAACATCACACTCAATGGACAAAAACTAACACCATTTCCCCTAAGAACAGGAACAAGACAGGGATGCCCACTCTCACCATTCCTGTTCAACATAGTCCTGGAAGTATTAGCCATTGCAATTAGACAAGAAGAAGAAATAAAAGGCATTCAAATTGGAAAAGAGGAAGTAAAACTGTCCTTATTTGCAGACGACATGATATTATACATACAAAACCCTAGAGACTCCATCAAAAAACTACTAGACTTAATACATGAATTTGGCAATGTAGCAGGATACAAAATTAACCCCAAGAAATCTGAGGCATTTCTATACACCAATAGTGAACTTTCAGAAAGAGAGATTATAAAAACAATCCCATTTACCATCGCACCAAAAAAATTAAGCTACCTAGGAATAAACTTAACTAAAGAGGTAAAAGACCTCTACTCAGAAAACTACAGGACGTTGAAAAAAGAGATAGAGGAAGACATAAAGAGGTGGAAGAACATACCATGTTCTTGGATTGGTAGAATCAACATCATTAAAATGTCCATACTACCCAAAGCAATCTATAAATTCAACGCACTTCCCATTAAAATACCAATGGCCTACTTCACAGATGTAGAACGAACTCTCCAAAAATTCATCTGGAATAAAAAAAGACCCCGAATAGCTGCAGCAATCCTGAGAAAGAACAAAGTAGGTGGGATCTCAATACCAGATATCAAGCTGTATTACAAAGCCACTGTTCTCAAAACTGCCTGGTACTGGCACAAGAACAGACATATAGATCAATGGAATAGAATAGAGAGTCCAGAAATTAGCCCGAACCAATATGCTCAATTAATATTTGACAAAGGAGGCAAGAACATACAATGGAGCCAAGATAGTCTCTTCAATAAATGGTGTTGGGAAAATTGGACAGATATGTGCAAGAAAATGAAACTAGACCACCAACTTACACCATACACAAAAATAAACTCAAAATGGATAAAGGACTTAAATGTACGACAGGAAACCATAAAAATTCTAGAAGAATCCAAAGGCAACAAAATCTCAGACATATGCCGAAGCAATTTCTTCACTGATACAGCTCCTAGGGCAGTTGAAACTAAAGAGAAAATGAACAAATGGGACTACATCAGATACTAGCTGTCTGCAGTTAGATCCCAAAGGTTAAGGACTCACTTGTATAAGACTGTCCCCACCACCACCCCCACTTTAGACTCCAATTGCAAGTCCAGAATGTCACATATATTTCTGGCTAACCCAGGACCTCCTCCTCAGATGCTATTAATTTGCTGAAGCAGAACGCAGAGAAACATTGTACATACTAGATTACCAGTTTGTTACAAAAGGATATTGTAAAGGCTACTCATAAATAGCCAGATAAAGAAGTTCATAGGTGACGTCTAGAAGAGTCCCAAGCACAGCTTCCTTTCCCATGGAACTTGGGTAGGCTGCATGGCTCTCATCACTTAGGAAAGTCTAAGAGTGGAAGAAAGAAGCCAGGGAAAGAAAAGAAAAACTCAAGGCCAGAAAAAAAAAATTCCATTGCTCACTTCGGCAGCACATATACTAAAATTGGAATGATACAGAGAAGATTAACATGGCCCCTGCGCAAGGATGACACCCAAATTCGTGAAGCATTACATATAAAAAAAAAGAAAAAAAAAGAAATTCCTCCTTTCATGACAGTCAACTTGATCCAGAATAGCTTTTACTCGGGCAGGTCCGATACTCACGTGTGCTGTTTTTTTTAACTGGGAAGGATATCTTTGCTGTGGAGGCCTCCTGTGAGGAGCAGAGGGTCCCAGACTCCCAGCCCAGGGTTCCAGAGTGGGAAGATGTGTCCCCATAACTTTGGGCTTTAAAAACTAGTGAGGACTGTGGCTGGGTGACCTGGAGGCTGCTGAAGACCCAGGCAGTCCCTCTTAAAGGGCCGGTGCACGAACTTACATGGACCTGCTTCCTCTGAGTCCGAGCCCTGGGGCAGCGGCTTGGAGGGATCCAGGGACATACGGGGAGGAATTGAATTGTCTGACCTCAGAGCAAGAATTTGGGGGCAGCTTTCCCAGACAGGCATACTGGCAGGGGTCATTGTTCCTCTGCTGAAACGTGCCCTATCTCAGAGCTGGCAGCCATATCGAAGTTTCCTTCAGCCCTACTCACACTGTTATTTCCTGGCTCAGCCCTGGTGATTTCCAAAGACACCGCACATTCCAATTTGCAGCCCCACTCAAACTGTTTGCAGCAGCTTTTCCATATGAATGACCTGTCCTGGCTCACACTTCAGACTTTCCCAAAATCTCTGAAGTCATAGTGAGACCCAGCACTAGCAGCCTGCCTTGCTTCACAATGGGCCTCTCCTGGGCACTTCCAAGCCCAATACAAGTAGCAGCCATTTGCAGATCCCTCTGTAGATCCTGCCAGGTGACCCCAGAGCCAGTGTGCCCAGTGGCCACCTTCAGACCACACCAGATTACAGCTCTACACATCTATGAGCTACAAAGAATTTATTATTCTTTACTTGAATCAAGGGATTCAAGAGTAGAATAGAGGATGCCTAGAATCAAATCAGCGATTTAGAATATGAGGAAGCAAAAGAGACCCAATCAGAAGATCAAAAAGAAAAAAGAATCCAAAAATATGAAGATAGTATAAGAGCCTCTGGGACAACTTCAAGCGTACTAACATCCGCATGGGGGTGCCAGAAGGAGAAGAGAGCGACCAAGATACTGAAAACTTATATTATAGGGGCTTGGGTTTGTGAGCTTCTTGGTTTGTTAATGTTAGGACTTTGACTCATTCACATATATTAACTTTGGTAGGAGAAAATAAAGATTAATTCACTTTAAATGGCTAGAGGTGCAATTAATGACAGTTGAGCTGCCTGCTGCTTTTTATGCTTTGTCATGTATGTAGAAAGTAGTGTGTGCTAGCCCTATCGGCAGTGCTGCTCTGAGTGCTGGGCACGCTGGTTTGGGTGGCCTGCGGTGGCCTGTGGTAGAGCTGAGCTGAGGTTTGTCTTTAGAGTAAGCCACGATCTGGCTGTCACTGAAGTCCCCTTTTCCTGTTGCTCTTGTAGATGTTGTCAGAGGAAAATCATTCATTTTAATGGAAGCCAGATTACCGGCCCTCTACAAATTGGAGAGTGACTATGAGATCCTTGAAAGGTAAATATACAAATCAAAAGACACTTTATTACCCAAAAGTTATATTTTTCAAGTTTAACTTTAAGTATATTACCATTTTTAATACTAAGTACTTAAGTACTATTTTAAGTATTAGTCTGTTCGGTAACCTAAGGCAGTATTGACTTCATGTGGGTGCAACCTAGTTTCGTTGATAATTTGAATCTAATTGTGAGTTTGCGTTCCTCTTTTTTCCCTAGATTTCCAGGTGCCTCTCTCCAAGGCAAGAAGTACAGGCCCCTGTTTGACTATTTTGTGAAGGTGAGCTTAGGGAGCTCTACCACAGTGCTCTCCACCACCCTCTGTAGTATTGATCACTGGACCAATGTAATGGTAGCCGGCATGGGCTTCACATGGCCTGATTGTTCTGCTTTTTCCATGAATGTGCTTGAAGCAGTCTACTTTAGTGTTAACAGGATTCAGTTCTGTTTGTATTGCCTTCTTGTACTAATAATTTTAAAAATACTTTTCTCAAATTGCATAAGAAGTCACATTTCATAAGATTTATTGTGTATATATTTATTGTTTATGGTCTGCATATTCCCAAGGAATATGAGGGATTGTTTTTGGCTATTTTATAAATTTAGGATAATGCTCAGAATAAAACTGTGTGTAAAAGTAAACAGAATTTATTTCCAATAAATGGATTAGGTGGGTCCTTTAAAACCTAGGCACCACCGCAAAGCTCACACATTTAGTAACTTAGTTCTCTTAGGAATCATAAAGGTGCTTTATGTGGTCTTCGTTTTCTGACAGAATTTGCAGCTATAGTTGCAAACCTAACCACCAACAAAACAACAAGGTCAGCAGGACTTGATCCTCATTTATAGGTCTTAGAACAAGCATGTCTTTTATTTAAACGAGGCATGCAGCCCGCTGGCCGCTGGTCATCCAATGATTTGACATGCTTGTCTTAGAGTAAAATGATGAGCAACGCCCTCAGAACTGACCTAGCTTTGTATATTATGTAAGAAATATATTCAGCTTGGCATAGCATTAGCCATAAAAAACTTGCATTGCGGCCCAGGATAAAACATTTGCTTATCTCTGTTTTCAATGCAGGGGTTGAGTTTGGTTGGTGCAGATGACCTCAGCCTTGTGGACTCTTTGCACAATATTGCTCACATGTGTCTTTCCTTGAGTGCTTCCCCGTGTTCTTGTCTCCTAACTAGGGGCCTTTTCCTCATTACTTGTTGCTGCTGGTGGTTATCCCTACGCTTTGCCTGGTCTGGTCCCTCTTGTGAGCCTGTAGTTTCGTTTGCCAACACATTCCTCGCCGGGTGCTCTCCACTAGGCATGAGGCAGACCTGCCTCCTAGTCACATCCCCTAACATATCTTTTGCCTCAAACTGCCGTGGGTTTTTTTTTCCCCCCTTTCTGCCTTTCTTTTCATTAGATTCTCCTTTTTAAATTTGCTTCACCTTTCTGAAATGGCCTGTATCCTCGAATATAACCCACTCTTCAAGGCTGAACTTGGATGCCATCTGCAAAACAATGTTTTCTGAAGTGTCTCTTAGTTGTGTTCCTCGGAATAATGCCATTATTGCATTCTTTTCTCATGTATCTTAACATATTTCATGTGTTTTTGTCTTAAAACTCTTCCATTAGGTCAATGACTTCTCAACTTTCTGAATTACAGGCCCTATTGAGAGCCTGAGGAAAGCTGAGCCCTCTCAGAAAATGCACATGGACACTCTAGATAGGAGCTTTGGGTTAAGTCAGTGGAATATGCATTCAGTACATAGATGATAAATAAGACCTATCCGATTCATTCAGTTAGCTTCCTGAAATTTCTGGGACCTGTGAATTTTAGACAAAAGCTACAAATTCCTTGAATTAGGACAAAATCATTTGTTGTATATCTAAAATACACATGCTCTGACCTAACCAGTTTTGCTCAGTGGATAGAGCATCAGCCTGCAGACTCAAGGGTCCCAGGTTCGATTGCGGTCAAGGGCATGTACCTTGGTTGTGGGCACATCCCCAGTAGGGAGTGTGCAGGAGGCAGCTAATCGATGTTTTTCTCATCGATGTTTCTAACTCTCTACCCCTCTCCTTTCCTCTCTGTAAAAAATCAATAAAATATATTTAAAAAAAAATAGAATAAAATAAAATACACATGCTCTGAAATATTAAATGGAAGCTGTGAGAGTATGTGGGGGCAGCACTCCAGTGCTCTGTGCTGACTGCTGGCCATCCTGAGCAGGCCTTGATCCAGAGCTGCACCCAGAGAGATGGGAATGCAGTGTGGGGTTTCGTGGTATACAGTTATAAATAGCAAGATACCTCTGTGTTCCCTATTCTTACATCTGATTCTGAGGACACCCATGTTCTCTCCATGTTTAAATGATTGAAGACACACCTCTCAGTACCTGTCACACCGCACCATAAACATTTCCAGGTGAGTTAGGTTACAGCAATTGAAAGTCTATAGTTATTTGTCACGTTTATTTTTACCAAGTGCCAACAGTTCAAGAGCGGTGATGCCCTTGTGCTGTATTTTGAACCAGAAGGCCTTGTTTCAGGTCCCAGCTTCATCATTGCTGGTGTGTGATTAGGCAAACCATTTCATCAGCTTTGTTCTGGGTTCACTTTGAAATACAAATGCAACCAGAATATTTTTTTAATATATTTTATTGATTTTTTACAGAGAGGAAAGGAGAGGGAGAGGGATAGAGAGTTAGAAACATCCATGAGAGAGAAACATCGATTCAGCTGCCTCCTGCACACTCCCTACTGGGGATGTGCCCGCAACCCAGGTACATGCCCTTGACCGGAATCGAACCTGGGACCCTTCAGTCCGCAGGCCGACGCTCTATCCGCTGATCCAAACCAGCTAAGGCACAACCAGAATATTTTTAAAACATGGAAATACTAATACATTTTCATAGCAGTGTAGGTTTAATTGTGAAAATCATTTCTGAACGTACTTTTTGCAAACACAGAAAGGTAAGAAAGCAAAGGGGTTTTAGTTGGGCTAAAACAAAGGGCTTCTGAAAAGAAATACTAAGAGATGAAGTAGAAAAAGGAAGTCTGTAGCTTTATATGTACTAACCTAACTTTATTGTTACAAATGAAGTCAAATTGGAAACATTTCCCCTCTGAGGGTAGAATGTCTGCAAATAGAAGATAGAACAGGGGTGGGCAAACTTTTTGACTCGAGGGCCACAATGGGTTCTTAAACTGGACCTGAGGGCCGGAACAAAAGCATGGATGGAGTGTTTGTGTGAACTAATATAAATTCAAAGTAAACATCATTACATAAAAGGGTACGGTCTTTTTTTTTTTTTTTTTTTTTTAGTTTTATTCATTTCAAACGGGCCGTAGTTTGCTCACGGCTGAGATAGAACTTGTAGCTCTTTGTCCTTCCCCTCATTTCTTTAAAGGTTTGCCTTTTACTGCTGAATAACTTGAGCTGGACTGGAAGGAGAAAGAGAAGCAAAGTGTATGCAGTGATTGAAAATACAGTTGACCCTTCAATAAGGCCCCGGTTCACTTATACATGTATTTTATTTAACCAACCATGAATAGATAACAGTTTTTTGCATTCCCAGCTGCAGATTGAAAATACAGTTTTCAATTTATGGTTGGTTGAATTCAAGGATGGGAGGGGCCAACTGTAGCGTCAAAAGTTACACTCAGTTTTCCACTGTATGGGGATTGGTGCCCCTAAGCCCTGCATTGTTCAAGGATTAACTATGTACCAGGACGGGAATAATTTGAGGAGTATGTTTTCTGAGACTATGATAAACAGCATACTGCGGGGAGGGGTTCAGTCCAGGAGAAATAATGAAAAGCCCCAGTTTTTGCACTAAAAAAGTTGGACATTTTTTTCTGCCACTTCAGATAATTATTTATTAGGGATGAATTATTCATGTGATGTATAGAATTAGCATGTTTCTTTCCAGTATGAATTATTGCCATTTCCATCCCTGAAAATAATTTCATTTTAAAAGTTTTTCGGGCTCTAAAAATGGTGATCATATTATGATATGATATTGTTTCATCGTTTAATTTTGTCATCATTTCTTTTCCAGTGGAAAGAGCATGGCGCCTTTTCAGTGCTTGTCGACAATTATGTGAGGGAGGAAGAAGGCACTGGGGTGGTACATCAAGCTCCTTACTTTGGTGCTGTGAGTAGTATATATCTTACCAATGTTATAAGAAAGAAATGTCAGTGGCCACTGAGTCGTTGTCTTGTGTATGTGTGTTTGCCTGTGTGCATGCATTTTTTGTGTTGGTCACCACTGTTGGAAAACAGTCAACCTCTTTTCAAGCTTATAAAACTTGTATCTGCAATGTCTTTTCACCCTGAGCTGATTTCTTAAAATGGTGGGCTAAGGACATTTGGTCTTCAAAGGCATGCTGTGTTTTGATTCATTCATATTTGATTTACATGACACTTTGCTCTTTTTTTCTTTTTTTTAATGTATTTTATTGATTCTTTACAAAGAGGAAGGGAGAGGGATAGAGAGTTAGAAACATTGATGAGAGAGAAACATCAATCAGTTGCCTCCTGCACTCTCTCCACTGGGTATGTGCCCGCAACCAAGGTACATGCCCTTGACCGGAATCGAACCTGGGACCCCTGAGTCCTCAGGCTGAGCCAAACTGGCTAGGGTGACACTTTGCTCTTTATGATGTACAGTTCTGTGAGTTTTGATGAGGGCATGCAGTCACACAGTCACTTGATAAATCAAGGTTCCCATCACCTCTGCAGTGCTGTTCACTAAATACTGCACGTTCAGAGGGAGAATTTGACCTCTCTTTTCAAGGTGGGAGAGTGTGCTGAATTTTAAATTTTGTCCAAAGTAATTTTTCTGAAAATGTAATCCTTTTTTCTTTAATTTTCTTTTTCTTTTCCTTCTTTTTCTTTCCTTTTATTTCTTCTTTTTTCAAAATGTCATTCTTTTAATGTAATTTGTATATGAATAAAAGAGTATAGGGATTAAGGGCACATGTTTTAGAGCAAACCAGAACTCACATTAAGTCAAAGCTCTGCAATAAATTAGTTGACCTTTCTAGAGTTTCTTTTCCTTTCCTGTAACAGGGTGTTACTACCTGCCTGTCTGGTGACCTGGAAGGATTAAATGGAATCTTTCTATAGAGAGTGTTTCTATAGTTTGTGACGCTCAAAGAGTGTACACTCTCACTGCTGCGAGTGCCGCATGCACTGGGCCCTACAGACTCCTCTCAGCTTGATCATTTTGTCAGTGATAGGGGTGAGAAAAGTAAAGATAATCAGTCCTTATGTTTATATCATCCAGCTATATTATCAACATTTTGGGAATTCTGTTTTATCTACTTAATCTCTCACCTTCCCTCATGCTTTTAATTTGACTGGACAGTTTTGGAGCAGATCCTAAATATCTGTACACATCTCTGATTGATAAGAAATTTTATTTTTCTATATTTATTTATTTATTTTTTTAAACCTCACCCAAAGACATGTTTTTATTGATTTTTAGAGAGAGGGGAAGGGGGGAAACATTGATGTGAGAGAGAACAACAGCTCGATTGCCTCCTGTATACATCCTGATTGGGAATTGAACCCACAACCTTTGGTATACACTCCAACCAACTGAGTCACCTGGCCAGCACAAGGCATTTTATTTTTATTATAACCACCATGCTAATGTTGAACCCAGTAAAATGAATGATTTTTTAATATCACCTAGAACCTGTTCACTATTCAAATTGGGTGGGAGCTCTATTCATCTCCTGCCACAACTACACCAAAATTAGAACTAAACTTCAGAACCACCTGAAGTCTAGCTGGATGGGAGTCCTACAACTAGAGTAGAAGCTACACCCAGATAGTAGGAGGGGTGGAGGTGCAGGCCAGCTGGTCCCATTCCCCATGTGGCAGATAAAAATTGGGAAGGATATTTCATCTGCAGAGGTCCCGTCCTGAGGAGTTCTCAACCCCTCACCAGACCTCCCAGCCTATGGTTCTAGTGCCAGTCCTCATAACTTCTGGCTGTGAAAACCAGCTGGAATTAAGGGAGACTAAGGCAGCTAGACCCCCACCTATTACTCTTAAAGGGCCCATGCGTGGACTTGGTCAGCCTCATTCTCTGTGATCTTCAGCACTGGGTTAGACACAAATGGGTCTGTCATCGGGGTGAGAGCTGTGGGGGCAGCTTTTTTCAAGACAGAGGTGCTGGCTGAGGCCAGTGTTCCTTTGATGAACCCTCCCGGCACAGAGCCTTGCAGGCATCATCTCTGAGACTCTGTCTCAGCCTGGCTATCACTGTTTCCCCAGACCTGGTGATTTTCCAGGCCTACCCAAACGGTTTCCAGTGGCTTATTCATACCAAAAGCCTATGTTGGCTCATGCTTAAGAATTCCCTAAAGTCTCTCAAGCAGCATCTGACCTCAGTGTGCCCCATACCTCTCACGAAGTGGCCCCAAGCCCTGGCACTAGCAGTAGTCGGCCTTGGTTTCCAGCAGCTTGACTTCACCTGGGCACGTCTAAGCCCAGCACAAGTAGCAGCCAACTGCAGATAACCTTGTAGCTCATACTGGATGGTCCCAGGCAGAACACAGGCAGTGGCTGACCTTGGCCTGTAACTCCTGGGAAGCCCCAGAGCCAGCACACCCAGTGGACACCTTCAGACCACGTCAAAGCACCACCACCCAACCACCTCCACAAGCAACACACTCAAGGGGTAGACTCAGCAGACACCAGAGCCCCATTAAAGTAAGTCCTGCTCTTTGGGGTGGTATCCTACACAGCTGATCCTACAATTGGAGGTTATTGGTCTGTGGTCACAGCCAGTCTTTGCAGCTGATCAGCCTGGGGATAAATCCCTCCCATTAACATGCCAAAAGCAATCAAGGCTCAACTATAAGAGGATGGTGGCACAGCCCCACGGCAGGGTCAAGGTACACCTCAAGGGCCCAGCCTGGGTGATAGGGGAAGCTGTGTTGCTGGATCCTACAGAACCCCTACTACATGAGTCCATTGTGCCAAGCTTGAGAGACATAGCAGCTCTATTTAACACATAGAAACAAACACAGGGAGATAGCCAAAAAAAGGAGACAAACATGTCCCAAAGGAAAGAGCATAACAAAACTTCAGAAAAAGAAGTAGACAAAGGAGTGACAAGCAATCTATATATAAGGATGCTCAGTGAACTTAGTAAGAACCTCATCAGCATAAAAGAGGACCAGTCAGAAGATGACACCAACTGAAATGAAGAATAAGTAACGGGATCAACAAGAAAGTCGATGAAGCCCAAATCAGTGATTTGGAATAGAAGGAAGCAAAAAACTCCCAATCAGAACAGCAAAAGGAAAAAAATATAAAATTATGAAGATAGTGTAAGGAGAGTTGGACAACTTCAAGTGTATCAATGTTTGCTTCGTGGGGGTGCCGGAAGAAGAGAGAGTAAGAAATTAAAAACTTATTTTTTTTAAAAAATGACAGGAAACTTCCCTAATCTGGTGAAGGAAATACACATACAAGTGCAGGAAGTGCAGTCTCAGACAAGATGAATACAAGAGGCCCACACCAAGACTCATCATAATTAAAACACAAAAGGTCAAAGACAGAATCTGAAAAGCAGCAAGAGAAAAGCAGTCAGTTAAAACTACAAGGGAGTTCTCACAGGACTGTCATCTGATTTCTCTGCAGAAACTTTGCAGGCCAGAGGAAAGTGATGAATAGCAAGAACCTACAACCAAGATTACTCTACCCAGCAAAGCTATCATTTACAATTAAAGAACAGATAAAAGAGCTTCATAGACAAGAAAAAGCTGAAGGAGTTCATCACAACCAAACCAGTATTACATGATAGGTTAAAGGGTCTTTAAGAAAATGAAGGAAGTAAAAGAAAAAACTATGAACAATAAAATGGCAATAAATCCATATCAACAATTGAATCTAAAAAACCCAACAGGCAGAGCAGAAACAGTCTTATAAACACAGAGAACATTTTGTTGGTTGCCAGATGGGAGAGGGTCCTCCCATTGACCAAGAGGTCCCGGGTTCGATTCCTAGTCAGGGCACAGCCCGAATTGCAAGCTTGATCCTGTGTTGGGTGTGCAGGAGGCAGCTGATCGATATGTCTCTCTCTCATTGATGTTTCTCTCTCTCCCTCTCCCTTCCTCTCTGAAATCAATAAAAAAATATTTTTAAAAAAATGTACAAACTGTTCATTACAGAATAGTCCTGGGCATGTAAAGTACATCATAGGGAATATGTAGTCCATAATACTTGAATAACTGTATGGTGTCAGATGGGTGGGAGATTTGTCAGGACTTAGTTATGTAATGTCTCATCACTGAGGTGTGCACCTGATATTAATATAATAATTTACATTAACTGTACATGACTATTTTTCATTTCCTGTAGTAATACTGTACCTTATGTATCTGCCCTGAATGCCCGGCAGATTACTGTTATAGAAGATCAGATCTCTGAACTGCAGCCTCTAAACCCCATTTGGTAGAGATCCTCTGAGAGCCCTCCCTTGTGGCAATTTGCCAGGTGAGACACTATGTGGCCTCTGTAGAGTCATACTTCTGCATAACCGTGACCTGTCCTTCTGACTCCATTCGGGAATGCTGCTCTTAGCTAGTCAAGTTGGATGTGTCTCTACTAAATATTTCAAATTGCCGGGCTTCCGGGCTTCCTTTATGGGCCAGTACCCACATGTTTCATCACTAGGGAACCCCTCAGAACACAAGGCCAGGTGGGAACACACTGGCTTTCCATCTTGTTTTGGATTCAAACAGTATGGTTTCTCCATCTAACCCTAAGACAATCCTTTTTAGATTTGGGCAACATAGCACAATAAAGACTTTGGACTCTGGAGCCAGGCTGTTTGGTTTTGAACGGGAGCATTGCTACAACTTCCTCGTCTGTTCAGTGGAGATAGTTGCTGGTTTTTGCAAGGGGAACACCTGGTTAAACTGCGCCAGTCAGTCCTCTTCACAGTGGTGAAACTTAAACGAGCTAAGTAGTAAAATGTCAGAGCACTGTGTGATCCAGCTTTATATAAAAGTTTGCTCTAATTCACACTGCTCAAAATGTATTCCTGAAGCATTGTGGGTAATCTAGGTGAGTGATGCTCAGTGTTGTGATCTTTCAGTTGCCCCTCGACAGGGTGCAAATCCATATGCATACCAAGTATCATGCAGGACTAAATAGGTCATGCCTTACACCTGTATGTGCTTCTGTTTTGGTGATAACATGTATGTGCATACATGTTGGTGTTATAAGTCAAGTTTAATTAGTTTTAATATACTTACTAGAGGCCTGTTGCAGGAAGATTCCTGCAAGAATAGGGCTTCGCTCCCGTCTCTGCCATTCCTACCCCGCCCTTCTCTGTCCCTTCTCTCCTGCCCGTCTCCGCTACCTAGGCTCCGTTGCTTGGCTGCCTTCTACAGTGTCTTCAGTCTTCGCTCCCAGCCGGCATTTGCAAATTAGCCGCCATCTTTGTTGGTGGTTAATTTGCATATCACTCTGATTAGCCCATGGTGGGTGTTGCGAAGGTACGGTCAGTTTGCATCTTTGTCTTATTAGATTGGATATCTCATCTCACTTAGTGGATAGATACTCTCATATGTGTAGGGGTCTGTGAAATAATGTCTGGTTAGACGAGGCTAGATGTTAATCCTCCGCAACTATAATGCTCTGTTAATCTCTGTGCGGTCTTTGAGTTAACTTTAGTTGAGAAGATAATTGCAGTTGATTAGAGGTATGTATCAGAATACAGAAAATTATTCCTGTAAACCTCCCTCATACTGGGCTCTGACTGGTGACTCATGAAGCAACTTTGTGACCTTGGGGTAGTCATTGCTGATTGAAAACTGCACTATCTCCTCATACACTTGAACTGTTTTATTCTTCTCTCCTTTCGCCCCAGGATGACTATCGGGTCTGTATGGACTTCAACATCATTCAGAAAGATTCTGTCCCTGTGTGCCCTGTGGATGCTTCAGGCTGTTTCACAGCGGAAGTGACAGATTTCATGGGACAGCATGTGAAGGTCTGTGACTGTAAGGCATACAAAGGTCTCGGTTTCATCAGACTGTTTTTATTCATCAGTTTTTATCAAAAAGCTTCCACATCTTGGATTGTTTTTTTTTTAGGAAGCTGCTTCTGTTTTGTTTTGCTTCCGCACATAAAATCAGTACAGGTAGACAGATATTATCAGCTGCATTCAAGCGTCTAGTATCTTCAGAGGAAGCAGGCTGTAGTTTAAAGGAGTTGGGAAAAATGGGCTCTGGTGACTCATGAAGCAACGTTGTGACCTTGGAGTAGTCATTGCTGATTGAAAACTGAACTACCTTAATGATATGGCATGTATTTTAAAAGTCCGTGCAGTTACATGGTGGCTAAAATATAGATGCATTACTTATATAATACATTTGTTATTTGTGCCTTTTACTCATAGTAAAGGTATCCAAATACCAGATTTTAGTAATAAATACTCAATTATATTATGTTACTAAATACTGGAAGATATTTCAGTAGCTACATTTTAATTTTTTAACAGGATGCTGACAAAAATATCATCAGGATGCTGAAGGAACAAGGCCGACTTCTTGTTGCCAGCACCTTCACTCATAGCTACCCTTTCTGCTGGAGGTGAGGAGGGGACTGTTTTAGCCAGAGCTTTCGATTTGTGCGTACACTTATGTTTGTGCCACTCCATCAGTTTGTGGTTTCTATCTCATTTGTATTCTTTAGAGCTTGTGTTTGGATACTGCCTTCTTGCTCCAAGGAGAATGTTATGAATGCATACAATTATTTCTTTTCTCAGGAGTTGTGTTAGAAATACGGACACAGACAAGAAAGAAAAAACCTATTTCTTCCCTACTTTGTTTCTTGTTTTTTTTTGTGTGTGTTTTTTTTAAATACATTTTTATGTATTTCAGAGAGGAAGGAAGAGAGAGACAGAGAGAGAGAGAGAAACATTGATGATGAGAGAGAATCATTGATCGGCTGTCTCCTGCTCGCCACACACTGGGGATCGAGCATGTGCCCTGACTGAGAATCGAACTGTGACCTGGTTCATAGGTCGACACTCAACCACTGAGCCATGCTGACCGGGTCCTACTTATTTCTTTATCTTGTGATCTTCTTTACAACTTACATAAAACACTTCACTGTGACATTTTTCAGTATTGTGGATGTTTTTCCCCATGCCAAGCAGTTCAATTCTCTGTGATACCAGCTGGGTGTCCTACAATTTAATTCAATTCGACACCATCTACCTACAGCAGCGGTTCTCAACCTGTGGGTCACGACCCCTTTGGGGGTCAAACGACCCTTTCACAGGGGTCGCCTAAGACCATCGGAAAACACATATATAATTACATATTGTTTTTTGTGATTAATCACTATGCTTTAATTATGTTCAATTTGTAACAATGAAAATATATCCTGCATATCAGATATTTACATTACGATTCATAACAGTAGCAAAATTACAGTTATGAAGTAGCAACAAAAATAATTTTATGGTTGGAGGTCACCACAACATGGGGAACTGTATTAAAGGGTCGTGGCATTAGGAAGGTTGAGAACCACTGGCCTAGAGGCATCATCAGGTCCCAAAGATTAATCCCTGATATACGGACTGGCTTTAGTTCAGAGGTTCCATCTGATCCCTCCATGGATGGGTTCAATTAATTTGCTAGTCAGGCTCAGAATTCCAGGAAACACATTTATTGAAGGATGCAGGTAAATAGCCTAATGGAGAGGTCTGGGAGGGTCCTGTGAGCATTATCATGTGTCCCATGGAGTTGGGGAGTGTCACCCTCCCATGGATGCATTTATCAACCTGGAAACCATTCAGCCCCCGTACTTTTAAGATTTTAGGCTTCACCACAAAATCATGTTCAACCATTAGCTCTATTGTCAGCCCTTCTCCCTTCTCAGGAGGATGGAGACAGGACTGGAATTCCAAGCTATCATGGCTTCATCTTTTCAGTGACCAGCACCCATCCAAGGGCCCACACAGAAGCACATTAGAAGAAAAGACACTCTTGTCACCCAGAAAATTAGGATTTCAGGAGCTCTTTGCCTGGATCCAGGGGCAAAGACATATGTGCATATTTTCTATCATCCTACAGGGACAAATATCTTCTGTGTTGGGGGTCACATTTCTTTAGGATGAGATACATCTCTAAAATTTTCTAATGGAATTAAGTGAGATGTATGTGATATTAATACAAGATTATAAAGATTTGGGTGAAATGGAATCTTCCGTGGGTTAGGGTTAGGGTTAGGGTTAGGGTTAGGGCCTCATTTTTTGCTGAGTGTGATACTGTTTTTTTAATGTTTTTATTAATTTGAGAGAGGAAGGGAGAGAGATAGAAAAATTGATGAGAGAGAAACATTAATCAGCTGCTCCTGTAGGCTTTGCTGGGGATGAAGTCCAAAACCAGGAATTGAATTCGTGACCTCTTAGTACATGGATTGATGCTCAACCACTGAACCACACAAGCTGAGTGAATGTGATATCTTTCCTGGACAGCTGTCACACAACAGGAGAACTATATATTTTTTCTTGTATTCTTTTACTAGCTTGCCTTTCTTGGTTTTGTGGAGGGTGGTGACCAATACTGAGGATGTAGACATTACTTTTGCAGAAGGCCAAGTAGGTGGTGGTGACATAAGTGTGACACTAAAGGTGGTTGTCCTGGGTGCCTGCACACCTTCTGACCAGCTGCACCTCCATTTCTGCTTTTCTAGATCAGATACCCCCCTCATTTACAAAGCGGTGCCCAGCTGGTTTGTGCGGGTTGAGCACATGGTGGACCAGCTGATGAGGAACAATGACCTGTGTTACTGGTGAGCAGTAAGATGTGTGTCTTCAGAATGTTCTTTGTCATGCAGTTAGTAAGTATTGGTTTACACTCCCCCAAATCAATAATTTTAGTAGCCATCATTTATTGTATATTGTAGTAACATCTATTTTTATTTCTTTTTAGGAACACAAAACAATTTAAATAAGATATAACAAAGTACCATTTTTTTTATTATAAGGCATATAGAGTATTTTTACTTTTTTTTAAAGGCCAAATGGAAATGAGAAACTGCTGTTTATTCATTTTACAGAATGGGATGACTGAAAAACATCTGGCTGTACTCTCATTGTTCATTAGCCGTAAATAATAGTCATTTTCAGGGTAAACATTTGTTTTTGGATATATATCCACAAAAGCCATTTATGATGACAGTTGGCCCTTAAAAAACACTGGAGTTGGCGGCACGAATCTCTGCCTCGTCAAAAATCCGTGTGTAACAGTCGGCTCTCCACATCTGTGATTTCCCAGCCTTGGCGTTGACCATAAACAACCCGGGTTTGAACTGCATGTGTCACGTGAGAAAATTGGCATATAATTGGACTCCTGCTGTTCAAACACATGTTCAAGGATCAGCTGTACTACTTTTGATAGTTTTTGAGTTCCCAGACTGTGATGGTCTTGTTCAGGCTGGCTGCACTGAGGGGACAAAAGCTCTTAGCTAATACCTAGTCATAAAAAAAGTGTTACTCAACTGTTACAAAAATGAAGTAAGACTGGATCTATGTATAGCAAAAGTATGTTTTTCACTGAGAGTTTGGAGGGTAATCACTATTTTTTTACTCCCCATAAGAACTTAAAGACTGCATTTGATTTTGGAAGAATGGGGAGCATCTCAGGGCAGTAAAAGAAAGTGGCTATAGCTTTTCTTTTTTTTCCCAGTGAAGTGACTCTGATTTCTCAAGTAAAAGCTGTTCTTTCATTTTTATACCTTGAACGCTCCTTAGTTCTCCTAATGTGTGATGTGCTAGGTATGGAATATTCGTAGTCTGGGTGTCCTGTGGGAGGTGCCAGCCTATAAACTGCTATCTATGATACAGGACTAGGGGACCCTATTGGTCTTAAACTTGTTAAGTTTTTCTGCAAAGCTGAACCTCAAAGGATAGGTGCCATTTATCAATCTGAGACAATAAAAATTTGGGGGAGGAGTTGTTGATGGGAGTTCTGCCAGGTGAAGGTTATCACAGAGGAGGGATAGTACTAGCGAAGGCATTGAGGTGAGAAGCGCATTTAAGGAACTTGCCTCATTTCTGGAGCCTAATGTACAATGTGCAGGTGAGCCTGGGAAGGCATCTACCAGCCAGCTACTAATACCCTACCTGTTCGGACTCTTATTTTCTAGGTGATTGGTTCCCACACCAGTGAGTTACAATTAAATAAAGTGCTGTTGTGCGGGTGACCCAGAAACTAGCGGGGCCAGGCTAGCTAGCACGTGGTGACTGTTCAGACGACTGTGGCCGTCCCCCAGGGGAGGCCAGGGGAGGGAAGCCTGGGTGCGGTGATGTTTTCTACTAAAGAGCCATCTTCACTGGGATGAATTCACAGCAGGTGCTGCCACTGTGGGCCATCTGGTGCTGCCCATGCAGAAAACCACCTCTCAGGAGTGAGCTCAGCGTTTCCAGGGTGTCTGGTCCACAAAGCCTATGCAGGTGCCCTTCACAGATTTACTCAGTAATGTTCTTGGGTGATTTGGTGTCTGACCTGCTCATCCAGGGTCCCGGAGTTTGTGAGAGAAAAGCGGTTTGGAAATTGGCTGAAAGATGCACGAGACTGGGCCATTTCCAGAAACAGATACTGGGGCACCCCCATCCCACTGTGGGTCAGCGAGGACTTCGAGGAGGTGAGGCTGTGGCGCTTTCATGTGTTGATTTTTATTGAGGCCCTTTGTTCATTCGTTCCATCTGAATATGAGGTAGAAGAATATGGCTTCTTTCTTTTTTTTTTTTGGCCCCTTATTTCATCTTTTTCTCATTCCTTCCTATAATAGTGACATAAATAAGAATGTTTTTAGAGCTTTAACTTTATTTTGACTCTAATGCAATTTTTAACAATTTCCCTTTGTGTAAAAGTGAATGTAATTTCCATTTTTCTCAGGGAAGCCACACATTAAGTTGTTTGTGTTGCTCATATCTCTGTTTCTTCTTGTGAGTTATTTATGAACAGAACAGATACTCTGCACTAAGTCATAGCATGTTAAGCCCAACTTATAGTGACGGAAAAGGAAGATTGAAAAAAATTACCCAAGCATTGCAGACCTTTAACCTACAAAACCAAGTGATTGTATATGAGTTTAGGTCTATGTAAATGTTATATGTAGGACTTTAGATGTATTCCCTTGATGGGGCTTTCTGTCCATCATTGAAAGCTGAGAGCATTAGAGCCGTCATGAGCCACAGCAGCCCAGGGACCTCAGTAAATTTCCAGTGTGGCTGAATCAAGGCTTTTCAGGACCAGTTAGGGAGGACGAGGAAAGAGACCAGGGTGCCTCCAGGTAGCGGAGAAGCCCCAGCAGCCCTGTCAGATGGCTTCCTTTGGGAGCTCCTCAGTGGGCCCATCTCAGCCTCCTTACCCGGACATGATTCTAACATCTTGCAGTAGGACTATTTTGACTCGGCACAATAATTTAGTTCTAGCTTTCACTTCAGAAGATTCCAGCTTAAAGAATCAAATTCAAGTGCCAGGATGAAAATAAGATGCCTTAGCTTAGAGTAATAGTCTAGGCCAGGGGTGGGCAACCCCTGGTATATGTGCCAAACATGGCATGCCAGTAACTTTTGCTGGCACATGAAACCCTCTCTTATAATCTTTCATTTACAGTTTTTTTCTTAATATCGACTTCCTTATTTTTCAGATAAATTCAGTGTAGGTGCATCTTAGATAAATAAATAATTTTACATAACATGTATACATTAAAAAATAAATGTATTTTTCATCATCATATACTGTGTTTTTGTCGCTTGAATGAATTTTATTATTTCTTCAAGATTCTTCACATACGTACACCTTAAGAGATATCAAGTAGGCGTAACATGTTCTCAAAAAATTAGGGTTGGCACGCAGAAGAATTTTGAGTCAGAGATTTTGCTAGTTTTGGCACGCACTCACAAAAAGGTTGCCCACCCCTGGTCTAGGCATTTCACTTCTGCTGGTCATTTTTGCAGATTTGGACACCGTAAACCCTCAAAAAATGCTTGTTGAGATGATGGCTGTGAATGTTGAAAATCTGCATGTAGAGCCTCCTCTGATATGGGGTCGGTAGCAAGGAAGGGAAGTCTGCTCACTTCTTCAGACAGTGACCTGTCTTTCCTGAGGGTTAGCCATTTTGGTGGTAACTATCCTGAAGATCAGAGGTCTCTAAAACTAAATAGGAATGTTACAGAAATAAACTCTGTGATCTTTGCCTCTGCAACACTCTTGCTTTTTAACTTTGTTTTGACAGATAGTATGCATTGGGTCAATGGCAGAACTTGAAGAACTGTCAGGAACAAAGATCTCAGATCTCCACAGAGAGAGGTCAGTTTCTAAGTGTGTGATTCATGTCAGTTCTGTCATTCAGAGCTTGAGCCAAATATCAACAGTACAACGAGTGAAATTTCTTTTGAGAGCCAAAATTTTTAAACTTAAACTATATAGGTAGGTACATTGTTATTAACTTAATTAGGGTACTCCTAAGCTGGCCTTTGCTAAAAACGTCCTCAATCTGATTAAGGTATGTTTGCTAAGGTCGACCCCTTCCAACTCTCCCAGCCACACTCGTCTTGTATACTTGTTTCGTCTGTCTCCTTTCCGAAAACCGACTTCTGCGCATGGGCCACGAAGTTTCGATCGCACTGTACATGCGCACTCACACATGAGATTTTGTGGAAGAGCCACACTCAAGGGGCCAAAAAGCCGCATGTGGCTCGCGAGCTGCGGTTTGCCGACCATTGGTTTAGCCTATTAACACATTGCAGACCAGTAGTTTCACGGCTAGCTTCACCCAGTGGCCAGATAAGTTTCTATTGAACGAGTACAAAAAATGTTTTACATAAATGTTAAAGGCACGCTTTAAAATTAAATGCCCATTGCATTTTGAAGTTATTTATTATTCTTACAAGCTAATCTCTTTTTAAAGTATGGTACTTTGTAAAGCACTGTAATATGAAGCAAGAATTCTCGTGATCTGTCCGCAGTGTGTTAAGATGTGGTCTCTGTAGCAGATCCTAGAGCTGCATATAGAAATCAAACTCTAGTTTGCTGAATTACATTGTTGATAACTTGTGTCCTAATGAGGAGGGGTGGCTTCTGTCCTTGCGTTAGATGGCAGGGGCCTCTGGTATACAGCCTTCTAGGTCGAGCACTCCTGATGCTCTCTGAAAGCCTGTGATAATTGCCAGTATTTCTGTTCGTATGAAGAGCTTTCAGGAGATTGTGTTTCCTACTGGCAATTAAACTGCAAGTTCTGTTGTGCTTAAAATTAATAGAAATGGCACGTTTTTGTTTATTAGCATTGACCATCTGACCATTCCTTCACGCTGTGGGAAGGGATTGCTGCATCGCGTGTCTGAAGTGTTTGACTGTTGGTTTGAGAGTGGCAGCATGCCCTATGCTCAAGTTCATTATCCATTTGAAAATAAGAAGGAGTTTGAAGATGCATTTCCTGCAGACTTCATTGCTGAAGGCATTGATCAAACGAGAGGATGGTATGTTTTTTTGTTCTTTTAAGTGTTTTGTTGATTTCATTTTATTTAGCAGCTACTTTACTGAGCACCTGGTCTTTATCAGCTATGTGCAGGGAAGACTGTGTTAGGGAGAGAGGCTCTCCTGCCCGCTGCTCCTCATACCAAGCAACCCGTTAGTGTCTTGAATAGGCGTCTCTCCCATGGTAGGCTGTAGTTTTAGAGTTTCAGTTATTTCACTGACATCTTGGAGTATAGAGATTTGTTTCACTGGAAATGTGATAAAAAACACTTAATGTGTGATGATCATAGCTTGTGTATTTCAAATCATTTACTCAAATGTGTAATGAGTATTTACTAGTACATACAGGATAAAGAGTGAGGTACTACAAATGCAAAAAGGGATGCTTGGAAATGTGCTTAGATGTTAGACTAGCTTTACAAAATTAACATTCAAAAAAATCTAGATTTTAAAAGATCATGGGGAGAGGATTTGAGTATTGGTTTTATCTGGTGCCTTATTTAAAGCCATACCTTTGCCCTCTTAATTATAAAAAAGTTACCTTCTTTTTGTGGATGATCTTGGTTGGCCCAGGTTCTAATTATATTTTCATTAATAATGGTTTTACAGTTGTTGTTTAAGGAATTTTGGTGGTGTTTTCTGCTTTTACAAATTGCAGGAGTCATCACAAACTGATTAAATTCCAGCCTAATGTTTTGGGATGTGCTATTTTCAGCTTCCAATCCATTTATCTGTAGGAACAGTACCAGGCACAAGCTCCTCTTCCCAGGGAGTTTCTCAGAGGAGTGGTGACATCTGGCAACTGTTAGCAGTCCTTAGTGAATGGGATGTCTTGTCAGGTGTTCATGTTAGCCATGGGGTCTGGTCTCCACCCTCATCAGTTCATGTCCTGGGATGTTCTCAAAATCAGATTAGAGGTGACAAGAGCCGCACTATCAGGACAGCTTACAGGGATGTGATGCAGTTCTTTTAGGGAATAAGCTAGCAAGCAAAATAAATGACATATTTGATATCTGACCAACAGAATAAAAACTGCCTCTGCTCCTGTCATCTATCTTTTGACTTTTGAATGAGAGAGATGTTGTTTTTGGTGGGGAGAGAGGTTTGTTTATTTGTTTTTTGTCATACGACTCTCATATGGCCCTGTGCTAAAGGTGATATCTCTTGATTTTCAGTTTTGTCTTTTGGGGAGGTCCTGAGAAACCAGCCCTCTCTGACCTTCTCTGCCTTGTAGCTGTCCAACGGGCTTCCCGAGGAGAGTGATGGTGCTGTCCTCAACTGGGTCAGCACCTGGCTCCAGGCCTTTATTCACTTTCAATAAAGCAATTCATTTTCTGATCAGGGGCTGCTTTGCAGTGGGTCCTGTGTGTAAGTTTTTTCAGTGATCCTGACATGACTTAATAAGTCATCAGAATTAAGAACCTTTGCTTTATGTGGTTATCAAGAAGGATAACAGATCCAAAGTAGAAATTCAGTTCAACAAGTAAACACAGTTTTTCCCTATGCTGGGTTTCTTTTCCGGTTCTTGTTTTGTTTCTTAACTCTTTATTTTGACATTTTTTCCAGGTTTTACACTCTGCTGGTGCTGGCCACAGCTCTCTTCGGACAACCACCTTTCAGGAATGTGATTGTGAATGGGCTCGTCCTTGCAAGGCAGGTGCATTCCTGTGTAATGACAAGGTTCTCCGTTCCCCTAACCTTCCTTTGTGAATAGAGGAATTCAGGAATGCCCCCCTCTGTTCCTACTATTTCTTCTCTGCTTTTTACATGTTGCTGCTCTTTTCATCCCACACCTTTCCTGTGCACTTGTCCATCTTTTGCGTTCCGTCTCCCACCCACTGCCCTCTGTCTTCGGAAGCAGGGCTGGGTTGAGAGCTCAGCCTAATGGAAGGGGAGGTCTTTTCTGGGATCTCCCTAGTGATAAAATAATGTGTGTGTGTTTTTAGAATTTCATGAAGTTCTTTTGGTTATAGCTCATATTTAATCTGTACACTGGACCTTTAGTATAGATTTTTGTTGTCTTATTTTTAACATGAGGAAGTTACAGGTTATAGAGGTTTCTCGTATTGCATAGGAGTCTTATTCTTCTTTTCCCTGTACTTCCTCAAGTTATTAAAAGTAAAACATAAATAAAAATAAGAAACTACGAATATTTACGTAGGTGCCCAGCTTTATATGCAGTGAGGGCGTGGCAGTAGGCCCTGTTGTGAGCTATTACACATCTTCACACACTTAATCCCCATAGCTCTTTTGACATTTGAGGAATTGAGGTTCAGGAAAATTAAGTAACTTTCCCATAAGTTCAAGTATCCAGGCAGTCTGGCTATACAGGCTGTGCTTTCACATTTTCAGTTATAATTTTTATTGAATTGTAGATTTGCATGCAGTTGTGAAAAATTACAGAGGCCCCTTTTGAGTTTTCCCAGTTTCCTTCCCTTTGAATATCTCACGGTCCCTCTGTTGCCTTTTCATAACTACAGCCACATCCTCCTGCCCTTTCAGCTTCCTCCCCAACCCCTGGCAACCACTGATCTGTTCTCCATCTCTGAAATGGTATCATTTCAAGTCTGTTATGTAAATAGAATCCTACCATGTATAACTTTTTGGGATTGGCTTTTCTTGCTCTGTGTTACTCCCTGGAGGGTCCTGGGGGGCTTGTGTATCTGGTTCCTTCCTTTTCTTTGCTGAGCATGTGGGTGACCCAGAGTTTGACTCTTCACCTGCTCAAGTGAGTTGTTTCCAGTGTTTCTGACAATGAATAAAGCTGTCAAGTTTGTTGTAAGGTTTGTGTTACTATAGATTTTCATTTCTGTAGGGTAAATGCCTCATCTGTATTTTTAACTGTTACACTATAATGTCTTCCTTCATCTCTCCTGAAGCTTCTCTGTTGATTCAACACAGTATTTAAAAAGAAGCTTACAGATACTGACAGACAGCTTTATTGTTGTACTTTAACATTGGCTGTATGCCCTTTGCATTTATGTGTTCCAGTTGAAAATAGCTGTAACCATATATAAAGATAAACTGTGACATTGACTTTTGTTTTTCAAGTGATGGCCAGAAAATGAGCAAACGAAAAAAGAATTACCCAGATCCACTTTCCATCATCCATAAATATGGTGCTGACGCCCTCAGGTAAAAAAGCCCATGCTTTGCCCTGTGTGTGTTTGTTGTCTTTTTTTTTTTTTTTTTTTACATTTAATCACTTTTATTTATTTATTTTTTGTTAATCCTCACCCGCACGGATATTTTTCCATTGATTTTGAGAGAGAATGGAAGAGAGAGGGAGAGACTGAGAGAAACATTGATGTGAGAGAAATCATTGATTGGTTGCCTCCTGCAGGAGCCCTGACCAGGATCGGGGCCAGGGAGGAGCCTGCAGCCAAGGTACATGCCCTTGACCGGATTTGAACCCGGGATCCTTTGGTCCGCAGACTGATGCTTTATCCACTGAGCCAAACCAGCTAGGGTGTGTTTGTCATTTTTATGTAAGCATTTCTCATTCTGTTAGTCATATTCCTTAGATGTGGTTTAGAATTTGCCTTTTAAAAAATGTATCTCTGCTACAGGGGGAGCTACATTTGTATGATGTTGACTCAAACCCCCCAAAGTGGTTTTTTAATAATGGTGACATTTTCAAATCCAGAGATCATTGAGTGTTCAAATTAAAAGCCCCCCAGCCCTCTGCCCTGGCAGAGCACACACAGCTGCTCCTGGGGAGTCTTTGGTGCCTGCATTGTTCTGGGAGGAGGGCCTGGCCAACGCCTGTGGGTTCTGCTGCACCCACCACCGGTGGCCTGCACTGGGCTTACATCTCCTTTTATAATGTGCTTGGCCCTCATGCATGTAACAGTAAGAGCTTTATCAGTTTTAAATAGATCACGAGAAGAGTATTCATAATTACCCCTTTTGTAGCAGAAATGCTAGTTTTGGTGTTGCCCTGTCAAAATATCACATAATAATTGTTTACTGTCTACATTCCTTTTCGGTATAATTTTTCTCTTCCAGATTGTATCTGATTAACTCCCCTGTGGTGAGAGCAGAAAACCTCCGCTTTAAGGAGGAAGGTGTTCGCGATGTTCTGAAGGACGTGCTGCTCCCTTGGTACAATGCCTATCGCTTCTTCATCCAGAATGTCCTGAGGCTGCAGAAGGTATGGACTGCCGTGCTGTGGTTGAGCTCTGCCTTCCCAGCTGTGTCGAGCTGGGTTTGCACAGTCCCTGTGGTGTGGAGGGTCAGAGACACTTGGGAGGCCATTGGTAAAGTTATCCGGGGTCCTTGTTGCGCCAGTAGCATGGGACTGGGGCTCCTCGGCAAGCTCACCTGTGCAGACAGCAGCCTCACCTGTAGAAGAGTTGCATTGGACATTCATTTAGTCAGCCAGTTCCCCTCCCTTGTGGAACCAGTGGGGGTGGGGCATGGCAGAGCCAGTGAAGGGTCAGCTACTGTCTCAGAGTAAAGGCCCTCCATGGGTGCCTTTGGGCTGATACTCTGAGTGAGAGAAATTCTCATTGGGGTCTTAGGACTTAAAGTAATGATTGTGATGTATATGAAAGTGCCTTCCGAGCAGTGTCCTGCTGCCCATGACATTCTTGGAGAAGCTGCCTCTCCTGCTCCATGACGCAGGCTCCTGTCTTAGCTTTCAGGACTCCATTGGGGCTAGGGCCCGGTACCACTGATCTTTTTACCTCCAGCATCTTACAAGTAGAATTGCTTGGTAAATTACTGTTGACTAAACATGGGATGTTATGCCTTCCTGAGAAATTGGTTGGGAAGCTGAGCTTTGAACATCACACTCCAACAGTCCGGTCACTTGCTGCTTCTGCCTCTGGCTTGTCTAGGTCTGCTAATAAAGCTTCCCAGGGGGCATTTTCCCCTGTGTTTGAGAAAGGCAGTCGTTTTCCCCAGGTCCCTAGTGCTCCTGGCTTTTTGTTCCAACCACCTCGTTGGGCCCACAGTTCTTAGGCAGGGCCACTTTGCAGCCTCTGCCGGTCTGGCGCCTGGTCTGGGCATGGCAGCAAGACACGGGCTCTACAGTCAGTGTTCATTTTCAATTTGTAGACAGTCATCCAGTGCTTGCAAATTTTACTGTCGTTCCTCTCTCAGATTTAAAGTAACTATACCCTATAGTTATTGACAATATTTTGGAATGTTTCTCAATTCATAATCATTCTTTGGTGCAGAAGAATAATTTTTTTCCTAACTTCTCCTTTCAAAAACGTAATTCACTAATTGAAGACTTAATATCCCAGGTTTAGAGCTTATCCTGAAGATATTACTGAAAATTAGAAATTTAGATTGCCAATGGGCCTGGATTGGGGGAGGCAGGGCGTGGTATTGGCTATTTCAGTTTAAGTGCTTTAAACAGCTCATTTCTTTACATTAATTTCCCCAAGCAAACAGAATATTTCAATAATTGTCAATTCTTAGGAGGAAGAAATGGAATTCCTCTACAATGAGAACACGGTTAAAGAAAGTGCCAACATTACAGACCAGTGGATCCTGTCCTTCATGCAGTCGCTCATTGCCTTCTTTGAGACCGAAATGGCAGGTGTGTCTCTCTTTGGCCCTCCTCCCAGGACTAAGGACTCTTAATCTTTATGATTGCCCTTTACATATTTAACTTTTTATTGATAAACAATGGTGATTTTATAGAAATTTTAAGAGATAAAGAACAGTAGGTAAATAGTTATTTCTTTCAACACTCAAATATAATTTTGTCAAGACTAGTTGTAGAAGGTTCTGTTCCAAGGCCTGGGGGATCATCTCTGAGGATGCCCAGTGGCTTCATCCCTTCATAGGCTCAGTGCTGGATGACTCTGTGCCTGTTCCCTCATCTGGGAACCTCAGTTTCTTTCTGTGAAAAACACCTGGTTAGAGTTATTCTAAGGCTCTAATAGAGATCGTGTACTTGAAGTATCTGGTAGGTAGTAGGTACTCACTAAATAGTACATGTTAGTAGGTCTTTTATTTTTTTACTAGTGCTCCGGTGCACAGATTCGTGCACATTGAAAGGAAATTAATTAGAAGATGGCCAGCGGGGCGGGACTGGGCTACACGGGCTGGACACACCCTGGAGCCAACCTCCAGTGGTCCCTCCCTGGCTGACTGCACCTGGGGTGGCACCGCAGCTCAGAGGGAGTCTGGAATGAGCGGGGTCCCTCTGGCAAGTAGGGTCCCTCTGCCTGGCCTGCAAGGATTGGCTAAAACCAGCTCTCCGACATCTCCTGAGGGGTCCCAGATTGCAAGAGGGTGGTTCTCAGGTGATGTACCCTGGAATCAGGCTACCTCTTTTCTGGTTCCAGGGTGCGTTACCTGAGAACCCCAATGCCAAGTCACTGCGGCTCGGCAGCTCCTGCGTTGAATGTCTGCCCCCTGGTGGTCATTGCACATCATAGCTACCGGTAGGATGGTTGCTCAGCCTTTTATGTATATAGATTTTTTAAATTTCTATTTTCAAGTCTACTTTATTAAATAAGTGTCCTGTTCAGTCCAGAAAAATTAGGAAATATAGCAAAGCAATAATGAAGTAGACATTTTCCTATATTTGTTACCTACAGCAATGAATTTGGTTTTATACAGAGGTTGGAAAGTAGGTTATGATGGAACAACCGGAAGTCAGGGTGGAAAATTCTAGAAAGCATTAACTCAGATACCTGAGATGGGTGGGTCTGATAAAGTAGGCGGGCTTTCCAGTGCTGCACACCTTAGCGAGGTTGACCTGCCTCCCTCAGCACCTGTGGGTGCCAGGGGCTGCCGTACAGGTGCAGTGCTCATGGTTTCGAGGAGCAAAGCCACCCTTTGGTGCAGGCAGGGGCCTGCTGTCCTCAGCTGGTGCATGGCTCCTACTGGAGTAGGTGCCTTTGATCCTGGCGCAAAGGACAGTGAGCCCAGGAATTTCCACATGCTCACCAGTCATCCTGACGGACTATGTCCACCCCTTAAACATAAGGATCATTATGATTGCCAAGCTGTTGGACAGAAGTGACGATGGAAATGAGTGTGGGAAGCAGACTCCTGAGTGGGAGTTCACCGGGCTCCCAGGACAAGGGCTCACAGCCACACTCACTCCCTCCTCCTGAGTGATGTGAGTGGGAGGGAAACCGTGCTGGGGCTTATTGCTTGGGGCTCCTGCATCTTTAGGCAACTGCCCTCCTGAAGAGTGTGCCCAGTCTGACTGGGTGTTAGAGGTTAGGCAGCTTGTGCACATCAGCTTAGTGGTAAGAAAGACCAGATGTGAGAGGCCAGGTGTGCTCCACACAGGCTGTGTGATGCAGCTTGTGCCCTCAGCTCCCTCGTCAACAGAGTCTGAAGTAGCATCCTTGAAGTGTGATGCTTTTATAGTGATCTCAGCGATAGTTGCTACTACTTCTGTGTGCTCGTTACCCATAGGCTTCATCTCTCTAAGCTGAAACCGGAATATAGGAAGTAGGTTATGATGGCTTCCTGGAAGATGAAAAGTGTAATGAACACTAAGAATAACTTAGGCCTCTTTCTTTTCTTTTCTTTTTTAATATTTTTTATTGATTTTAGAGAGGAAGGGAAAGGGAAAGAGAGAGACATCAATGATGAGAGAGAATCATTGATTGGTTGCCTCCTGCAAGCCCCCTACTGGGGACTGAGCCCGCAACCCGAGCATGTGCCCCCGACCACAGTCGAACTCAGGATCCTTCAGGCCACAGGTCGACACAGCAAGCATGTCAAACTCAAAGGCTACCATGGGCCAAGTTTATGTAGGCCACAAAAAAAAGCTTCCATATTCATAGAAACGTTGATTTATTTCCATAGAGACATGCTGAGTACAAAGGGCTAAAATAAATTAGTCATCGTTATCACAAAATAACTGAACATTTTAATAATAATATTTTTCTTGAACGTTAATGTACACTGAATAACTGCACAAATTAATAAGCATAACGCAACTAAACCTATTTTTCTTGTTCTCTGAAAGCTAAATATTTCCTGTTGTGCACACCAAACAAGTCAGTTCAAGACTAATGACGTGGCCATCGGCTGCTAAAATATTCGCTGCTGGTATTGGTGGAGAGAAATGGTGCGCCTGCGCGTAAGGTGCTTAAGGGAAACGAATGCAACACGATTCTAGTAATCAGCCATTAGCGAACGTTGTAGTTTGTTATTAATAATTATGTATAATAGGATATTATAAAAATTAAGTTATGAAATTTTTATTAAAATGTTTCTTACATACGGTTAAATTGGCTGGGCCGCAAATATATTCTTTGTGGGTTGCATGCAGATCATGGGCTGAGAGTTTGACCTGCTTGCTTTACAGGGTAGGCCTCTGATCACAGACATCATCTGTCTGGGAATGTGCAAACAGCCAGGGACTGGACGGGGATGGGCCTGCAGCACCTCTTTCTGGTCTTTGTGAACCACCGCAGAGAGCAGCTCTGCCCTTGGCAATTTCTCACCATGTTAGCTTAGACCAGCAGCATTATTAACAGTCACTGAACATTAAAATAAATTGTGTTGTTTGAGCGACAGAGTTTCAGTGAAAGGGGACGTGAGTGGGAAAATCCCTAAAATAAGCCTGTGCCTCAAAAAAGATGGGCTAAGACACCCTTACTTTCCTGCTGGCCCTCGAGTTCCTCACAAGAGCCTTCCAGTCTTTCTAATGCTTTACAGATCTTTTTGCCTTTCACTACCCCCTTTAGCTTTCCTTCTTTGACTATAGGCATGTCATGGAGGTAGTGTGGGTTCGGTTCCAGACCACCACAATGAAGCAAATAGCCAATAAAGAGAATATACAATAAAGCAAGTCACATGAATTTTTTTATTTCCATTGAATATGTAAGTTGTACTTATAGTATTAACTGTGCAATAGCATTGTGTCTAAAACAATGTCCACACCTTAATTTTAAAAACAGTTTACTAAAAAAAAAAAAAAAATAGTTTAATGCTTGTCATGGTGTTCAGTGGTTAGAGATTAGACCCCTACACGGAAGGGTCACAGGTTCAAATTTCAGTTAAGGGTATGTACCTGGTTTGAGGTTTACTCCCTGCCCCTGGTTGGGGCACATGTAGCAGGTATCCAGTCGATGTCTCTCTCCTCCTCTCCCTCCTGCCTCCCTTCCACTCTCTCTAAAAAGCAATGGGGAAAAATATACTTGGGTGAGGATTAACAGCAACAAAAAATGCTGCTAAAAAATGTTAGCCATCATCTCAGCCTTCAGTAGGAGCTGTTTTGCTGGTGTGGGTTCTTTCCTTTTATTTATTTACTAGAGGCCCTGTGCACAAAAATTTGTGCACTCGGTGGGGGGGGGGGTCCCCCAGCCTGGCCTGTGCCCTCTCACAGTCTGGGACTCCTCGGGAGATAACGACCTGCTGGCTTAGGCCTGCTCCCGGGTGGCAGAGGGCAGGCCCAATCCCTAAGTGCAGCCCCTGGTCAGGCTCAGAGCAGGGTCGATTGGGGAGTTGGGGCGCTGCCCCGTCATGCACAGAGCAGGGCGGATCGGGAGGTTGCAATGCCACCCTCAGTCACGCTCAGGGTAGACTGATTGGGGGGTTGGGGCACCGCCCCCTGTTACACTCAAGGCAGGGTCGATGGGGAGGTTGCGGCGCCACCCCCTGTCACGCACAGAGCAGGGCCGATCAGGGGGTTGGGGCGCTGTCCCCTCACAGAGCAGGGTCCATCAGGGGGGTTGGGGCGCTGCCCCCTGTCACTCACAGAGTAGGGCTGATAGGGGAGCTGGGGCACTGCCCCCTGTCACACTCAGGGCAGGGTGGATCAGGGGTTGGGGCGCTGCACCCTGTCACACACAGAGCAAGGCCCATGGAGGAGGGTTGGGGCGCCACCCTCTATTATCCACAGAGCAGGGCCGATCAGGGGGTTGGGGCACCGCCACTGTCACACTCAGGGCAGTCCCGATGGAGAGGTTATGGTTCTACCCTGTCACACACAGAGCAGGGCCCGTGGGGGCGGGGGGTTGGGGCGCCTCACCCTGTCACACACAGAGCAAGGCCCGTGGAGGGGGATTGGGGCGCCACCCTCTATTACCCACAGAACAGGGCCGATCAGGGGGTTGGGGCACCACCACTGTCACACTCAGGGCAGGGCCAATGGAGAGGTTATGGTTCTACCCTGTCACACACAGAGCAGGGCCCGTGGGGGCGGGGGTTGGGGCGCCTCACCCTGTCACACACAGAGCAGGGCCAATCAGGGGGTTGGTGAGCTGCACCCTGTCACACACAGAGCAGGGCTGATCAGGGGGTTGTGGCCCCGCCCCCTGTCACACACAGAGCCGCAGGGCAATCAGGGGATTGGGGAGCTCCCCCCTATCAGGCACAGAGCAGGGCTGATCAGGGGGTTGGGGTGCCTTTCCCTGTCATGAACAGAGCAGGGCGGATAGGGAGGTTGTGGCCCCGCCCCCTGTCACACACAGAGCCACAGGGTGATCAGGGGTTTTGGGTGCTGCCCCCTGTCACGCTGATCCCGGTGCCGGGAGCCTCGCTGCTCCGCTGATCCCAGTGCCGGGAGGCATATTACCCTTTTACTATATAGGATAGAGGCCTGGTGCACGGGTAGGGGCTGGCTGGTTTGCCCTGAAGGGTGTCCTGGATCAGGGTGGGGGTCCCCACTGGGGTGCCTGGCCAGGCTGGCTGAGGGGCTGAGGGCTATTTTCCCGCTGGCAGTTGACTAAAAGCTCCCAACCGCTCCTTGTTTTCTTTTTTTTTTTTTTTTTTATTCTGGGCTAGTTTTAGCTCTGAGGCCTCGCTGCTGAAAACATGGATACAATGTTGCGGTCCGGGGCTGACTGACAGCTGGTTTTGTTTAGCTTCTTATTTGCAACATAGTAATAGTTGCTTAGAGTTGCAGTTGAGAGGCCGGCAAGTGAGGCGGGGAATGTTGGAGTCTGCAGTTCCTGGAGGAAGCAAGCCTCCCTGCTGGCTTCAGTGCCTGGCTGCCGGCCGCCATCTTGGCTGACAGTTAATTTGCATAAGGATACGCTGATTAGCCAATGGGAAGGGTAGCGGTCTTACGCCAATTACCATGTTTCTCTTTTATTAGTGTAGATTTACTAGAGGCCCAATGCACAAATTTGTGCATGGATGGGGTCCCTCTGGGTGGCCTATAAGGATCTTGCCAAAAGCCACAGTCCAATGCCGCCTGCAACTCCTACTTGCCGCTCCCACTCATCCTGGCCCCACTGTGCCTGCCGAGGGCTTGCACCCAATCATTCCCAATCGGAAGACTCTCACACCGTCGCAGCTGTGCTCACCAGCCATAAGCCCTGCATCTGGCGCCCTCCTGAGTGAAGTGGCCTGAGGAGCAGGAGAGAGAGAGGGGAATAGCCAGTCAATAGAGCAATTAGAACACACAACACTTATCGATTAAGTTTGAAATGTTTTGTGATAGTTCATGATACCCCAAAACAGTTGCAATAGTAACATCAACGACCACTGACCCCAGATCATCATAACAAGTATAGTAATGAAATAATTTGAAATATTGAAAAAATTATGACTGACACAAAGCAAGCAAATTATGTTGGAAAAATGGTGCCGATTAACTTGCAGGTTTGCCAGAATCCTTCAGTTTGTATTTTAAAAAATCTGAAACATAATAAAACAAGTGCAGTAAAATGAGGTATGGGTGGAAACCCCCCACCCTATTTTGGTCTTCAGAAAGTCTATTCTATTTTATTCATGGTTCTTGCTAAGTTTCTCAGTGGCATGAAGGATAGCTTGGGCTTGTGGGTTCTCTGGTGGGGCTGGGCTGTGTGTTATATGATGTTGAGCAGCAAGTATCACTGGGCTTCCTTTGCCAGATGGTGGAGCACCCATATGCTCAGTTATGACAAGGATGTCTCCAGGCATTGCCAGTGTCCCCTGTGGAACAGAGTTGCTCTAGTTGAGAAACTGTGTGTCAGTCTTAGTTGACGTACAGAGCAGCACAGTGAAGGAAGTTGGGCCTGTGTGGTGCTGTAGCATTGTACAGCTCCAGGTAAACCTGCCTCCTGGCGTTGTGTGATGGGTGGTGTTGGCCTCTTGGCCACACATACAGGATATCCATTTTTCTCACTGACAGTGGCTCACAGGGCAGTTGTGTGCACCCCAAGACACTTTATGGTCATTGAGTATGTCCTCAGTGCAGGAGCCAGTGTGATTGCTTCCCTTTTGGTTCATTCTGTCTCAACAAGCATGGGGACCCTTGGATGACAGGGCTACTCGTTCTTTCCTTGTGTCCACTCCTTCCCCAAGCACCCCAAATGCTTAGTCTATTCTCAGTTCCTGATTGATTGGTCTTACTTTTAGCTTATAGGCTTTATACTGTGGTGCCCCGCCTGGTCAAGTTTGTCGATGTTCTGACCAATTGGTATGTCAGGATGAACCGCCGAAGATTAAAGGTAAGTCCAGGTTGTTCTTCAGAAGAGCAGAAAGTGTAGGAAGTGTGAAAATAAGTACAGCCCAATGCTATAATGTTTTGAAGCAATTTTTTTCTTTTTACGTTTCGTATTAACTATATTTATCGCCATTTGATGGCTAGGGACCTGTAAGTTTTAAAAGTCATGGCGCATATTTTCAGAACACAATTATGGACATGCCATATTAGAGGGAGGCTCAGGGCCACATAGCAGTAAACTAAGCATACCTCTTAAAACCCAAAACAAGTTATGCAAATATTTTCAAATGTCATGTACAACTGTGATCTCCAGAGGAACTCTGAGCTATAGAGGGTCAGTTATTGATAAAACTCTTCCTTGAGCATGTTGGGGACTTTTAACGAATGAAGAATAAGTCCTGTCTCAAGACTTAAGCCATGCATAAACAATCTTCTATCTACACTAATAAAAGACAAACCTGCAAATTGACCGTATCTCCACTACGCCTTAAGCCATGCCCACCAGCCAGTCAAAGTGACTATATGCAAATTAACCCAACTAAGATGGCGGCTGGCAGCCAGGGAGCTGGAGCAAGCAGGAGGCTTGGTTGCCCCGATGATGGAGGAAGCCAAGCTTCCCGCCTGCCGCAGCCGGCTCTGAGCTCCACTTAAGGCAACAAAGTTTCAATTATAGAAGTTAAATAAACCCCAGATACCTGCTTTCAGCAGGCCGTGGCCACTGAGCTAGAGCGAGCAGGAGGCTTCCCTCCCACCTGCCCTGGCCTGCTCTGAGCTCCTCTCAAGGCTACAAAGTTTTAATTATAGAAGGTAAATAAATCTCAGAATAAAAAAGAAAAAAAGGAGAGGCTGGGAGCTTCCGTCGCTGGGTGGCTTGGCCAGCCTGAAAATGGCCCTCAGCCCCTCACCCAGACTGGCCAGGCACCCCGGTGGAGACCCCCCACCCTAAAGGGGGTGTAGCCAGCCTGAAAACAGCCATCAGCCCCTCACCCAGGCTGGCCAAACCTCCATGGGGCAAGGGTCCCCACTGTGGGGGGGCTTGACCAACCTGCAAACAGCCATCAGCCCCTCACCCAGGCTAGCCAGGCACCCCAGTGGGGACCCCCACCCTGAAGGGGGTGTGGCCAGCCTGCAAACAGCCATCAGCCCCTCACCCAGGCTGACCAGGCATCCAAGCGGGACCCCCACCCTGATCCGGGACACCCTTCAGGGCAAACCAGCCAGCCCCCACCCATGCACCAGGCCTCTATTTTTATATAATAAAAGGGTAATATGCAAACTGACCCTAACAGCAGAATGACTGGGAATGACTGGTCACTATGACGCACACTGACCACCAGGGGGCAGACGCTCAATGCAGGAGCTGCCCCCTGGTGGTCAGTGCACTCCCACAGGGGGAGCTCTGCTCAGCCACAAGCCAGGCTGATGGCTGCCAGTACAGCAGTGGTGGTGGGTGCCTCTCCTGCCTCCTCAGCAGCGCTAAGGATGTCCGACTGCAGCTTAGGCCTGCTCCCCGCTGGCAAATGGACATCCCCCAAGGGTGCCAGGCTGCCAGAGGGATGTCTGACTGCCTGCTTGGGCCCGATCCCCCAGGGAGCGTCCTAAGCCAGCAGGTGGACATCCTCCGAGGGGTCCCAAACTGCAAGAGGGCATAGGCCGGGCTGAGGGACACCCCGGACTGCACAAATTTTTATGCACCGGGCCTCTAGTCTATATATATAAAAGCCTAAGCAACTGTTCACCCAGTAGCTATGACGCGCACTGACCACTGGGGGTAGACGCTCAATGCACAGGCATGGAAACATGGAACAGACTGATGAATCTCAGAGGGGAGGGGTACGAGGGTGGGAAGAGATTACCAAAGATCTTATATGCGTACTAGAGGCCCAGGGCATGGATTTGTGCACGGATATAGTCCCTAGATCTGGCCTGCGGGGATTGGGCCAAAACTGGGTCTCTGACATCCCCTGAGGGATCCTGGATTGCTAGAGGGCACAGGCCAGCCTGAGGGACCCCACCAGTGCACCAATTCGTGCACCGGGCCTCTAGTGATTATATAATACAGGAGATACTCATACCAAAGGCCAGTTAGGTGCCCACCGCACATCATTTTTGTTGTTGTTTGTGGGTGTTCTGTTTTTTTAAATCCTCCATTGATATTTAGAGAGAGTGTAGGGAAGGGGAGAGACAGAGAGAGAAACATCAATGTGAATGTCAAATTGACTGGTTGCCTCCCGCACACGTGACCGGGTATCGAGCCTGCAACCGAGATTCATGCCCTTGACTGGAATTGAACCTGCAGCCGTTCAGTATGCTGGCCAGTGCTCTATCCACTGAGCCAATCTGGCTAGGGCTACCCATTAGCTTTTCCTTCAAATGTGTTGATGACAAAAGCCCAGAACAGAACAGTAATTCATTTTTGTTAAAATGTGCACATGTATACATGTATGTCTTTATACACACAGAATCTACAAGGACATGGATTAAAATGTTTACAGTAATTTTTTATGGGTAACATAATTATGGTTCAGTGTTCTTTTTTATTATCTTTGTTTTTTTAATAATGAATCAATATAATTATTTTTAAATACATAGTGTATATATTTTTTAAAAGTTACCTAAAAGTGCTTTAAAGTTTTTATGTTAACCCCTAGAGTGCCGGGGAGCACGATCGCGCTCCTCCTGTCTTTTGCCAAAAGTGCCAGGAGCGCTATCACGCTCCTCCTGCAGTGTCCAGTTCTAAGTCTGCTTTTATTAGTGATGATGATATTGCTAAATATGTCAATTCTTGCTGTGAAGATGACGATTTTGTGGAAGATATTGAATATATAACTTCATTTACTTGCGATTCATAATTTTTTTCCTAAACTGCTGTAAAATCAGCAAAAATGCCTTGGCAATTTTAGCATAGTTCCTAGGATATTGGTTGGCACTCAAAGGGTTAACAACTACTTGTCCATGGTGTGGGAATCCCACTCTCAGACATCGGGTTCTCTGAACTCATCTTTACCTCACAGTTACAGAGCCCTTCTCCATTAGCTTGGCCTCAGGTGGTATGGGAGGGAGTAAGGGTCTCATCCTGGCTTTCTGCCCTGGCCCCAGATCACCTGTGCTAGTCACATCTCCTTGCTCTCTCTGTCCTATCTGTACAATATGTACTCCCTAGGGATTGTCTCTCTCTCTCTCTTTCTCTCTCTCTCTTTAATTGTGTGCTCCCTATGGGTTGTCTCTCCTTTTTTAAAATATATTTTTATTGATTTCAGAGAGGAAGGGAGAGGGAGAAATAGAAACATCAATGATGAGAGAGAATCATTGATCAGCTGCCTCCTGCACGCCTTCTACTGGGGATCGAGCCTGCAACCCAGGCATGTGCCCTGACCGAATCGAATCCAGGACCCTTCAGTCCACAGACTGATGCTCTATCCACTGAGCCAAACCAGCTAGGGCTAGATTGTCTCTTTTTATTTTTTATTTTTATTTTTTTTTTTTTTTTAAATTTTTATTGATTTTTTGCAGAGAGGAAGGGAGAGGGATAGAGAGTTAGAAACATCGATGAGAGAGAAGCATCGATCAGCTGCTTCCTGCACACCCCCTACTGGGGATGTGCCTGCAACCAAGGTACATGCCCTTGACCAGAATCGAACCTGGGACCCTTCAGTCCCCAGCCCGACGCTCTATCCAGTGAGCCAAACCGGCTAGGGCAGATTGTCTCTTTTTAATAAATTTCTTACTTGGTTTTAACAGTTCAGTATGTGTTTCTTTTTTATTCACTAGGGCGAAAATGGGAAGGAGGATTGTGTTACGGCCCTGGAAACCTTGTTCAGTGTTCTGCTTTCTCTGTGCAGACTGATGGTAAGATTCTTTGCCCCATTCTATAACTCGTCCTGTGGGCTGCTCACAGCACCCTATTGCTTCAGTGTCCTCTGTCTGTATTCTGTATTTGGTCCACTGGAAATAGAAATTGAGTTTTAAAGCAACTTAAATCTCTAGTTCCTTTTCAGAAATCTTACGTGTGTCAAATAAGGACTAAGCAATAGTTTTGAAAGTTGGGTTTTTGTGGTGATTTCAGGGGGAGGTTGATGGGGAGGTGGAAGGAGGGTATAGGGGGGATAAATGGTGATGGGACAATTAAATAAAGGTGGTGAAAAGTTAATACTATAAAACAATTTGGATTTTTTTTTTCTTTTCACCACTGGCAGTATGTTTCAGGTCAAGGTTCTTGCATCTAGATTGAATTGCCAAAGTTCCCCTAAACATTGGACCTCTTCTTCACTATCATTGTCACAGTGAAGCTCTTGAACTAACATCTCGCCAAACATATTACAAACAGTATTTTACTTGACACATATTCCTACCAATTAAAATATTAATTAAATAACATACAGTATATTTGTACTTGTTTTAATTCCTCATATCCTATTTCGGCTACTCCAGTGGTCGGCAAACTCATTAGTCAACAGAGCCAAATATCAACAGTACAACAAGTGAAATTTCTTTTGAGAGCCAAAATTTTTAAATTTAAACTATATAGGTAGGTACATTGTTACTAACTTAATTAGGGTACTCCTAAGCTGGCCTTTGCTAAAAACGTCCTCAATCTGATTAAGGTATGTTCGCTGAGGTCGACCCCTTCCAACTCTCCCAGCCAAACTCGTCTTGTATACTTGTCTCGTCTATCTCCTTTCCGAAAACCGACTTCTGCGCATGGGCCACGAAGTTTCAATCGCACTGTACTGGCACACCCGCATGTGGTATTTTGTGGAAGAGCCACCCTCAAGGGGCCAAAGAGCCGCATGTGGCTCGTGAGCCACGGTTTGCCGACCCCTGGGCTACTCCATTGTCACTTATATGCCTTCTGTATATTTCCTAAACATACACAGAATGAGAGTCTGCTTTGTATGAGGTCTCGTGCCTGGTTCCTCACATCTGTTCTCATTCATTTTTATCCTAAGAAGCAGGTTGTATTCCCCCAGGTTGCAGATGAGGTTCTGACTTTTGGGGACATTGAGTCCTTTTTATAATGACTTTGCTGGCACATGGTCAGTGACTCCTTTTGTTTGTTAATTAATTTACGGGGGTGACATTGGTTATTAAAATCATATAGGTTTCAAATGTGCAGTTCTATGACACATCATCTGTATATCGCACTGTGTCCACCACCCAGTCAGATCTGTCACCATTTATTTGATACCCCCTTCCCTGCAATAACAACTATACAGTTACCTGTGTCTGTGAGTTTTTGTTTGTTTGTTTTTCATATTCATTTGTTGTTTTCAATTTTATATCCCACATATGAGTGAAATCATATGGTTCTTAGCTTTTTCAGTCTGACTTAATTTTGCTTCCATGATATTCTCAAGATCCATCCATGTTGTTGCAAATGACAGTGCTTCATCTTACAGCTGAGTGGTATTCCATTTTATATATGTACCACCTCTTCTTGATCCAGTCATTGATCAAAGGACACTTTAGTTGTTTTAATGTCTTGGCCACCATGATCTGCTGCACAGAACCTAGGGATGCATATATCTTTGCAAATAAATGTTTTCAAATTTTTCCGCTAGATACCCAGAAGAGGGGTTGCTGATTATATAGTAACTCTGTTCTTAACAAATTTGAAGAACCTCCGTACTGTTTCTGTTTTTCATATTTGCTGTAACAGTTTATATTCCCATCAACAATGAATGAGGATTCTTTTTTTTCACAACCTCTCCAACACTTGTTATTATTGCTTTCTTATTGATGATAACATTCTAACAAGTGTGAGGTGGTGACTCATTCTAGTTTTGATTTGCATTTTCCTAATAGCTGATGAAGTTGAGCGTCTTTTCATATGTCTGTTGGCCAGTTCTATGTCTTCTTGGAAGAAGTGTCCAGGATTTCTGTCCCTCTTGTAATTGGATTATTTCTTCAGTGTTGTGTTCTTGATATATTTTGGATATTAACTGCATGTCAGAGCTATTGTTTGCAAATATTTTCACCCATTCCTTTGTGTTTTTGTTGTTGTTGTTCATGGTGTCTTGCTGTTCAGAAGTTTTTTAGTTTGATATAGTCCTATTCATTTATTTTTGCTTTTACTTCCCTTACCTTTGGGGTCAAATTCATAGAATTCTCCATAAGACCAAGGTCCATAAAATTTAGTACCTAAGTTCTAATATATATGGATAAACACTAATTTGCTTCTTTTGCATGTGGCTTTCTAATGTCCCCAGCACCATTTATTAAAAAGTTTTTCTTTTTTCCATTGTATGTTTTGGGCTCCTTTGTCAAAAATCATTTGCCCGCATACATGTGGGTTTGTTTCTGGGCTCAGCTCTTAATTCTGTTCCCTTAAATTTTGTGTCTGTTTTTCTGCTAATACCATGCTGTTTTAGTTATTGTTGCTTTGTATAATTTGAAGTCGGGGAGTGTGATACCTTCGGTTTTGTTCTTTTTTCTCAGGATTGTTTTGGATGTTTGGGGTCTTTTGTGGTCCAATACAAATGTGATGATTTTGTGTTCTATTTCTTTTTTAAATGCCATTGGGGTTTTGATGGGCGATTGCATTAAATCTGTATATTGCGCCGAAACCGGTTTGGCTCAGTGGATAGAGCATTGGCCTGCTGACTGAAGGGTCCCAGGTTCGATTCCGGTCAAGGGCATGTACCTTGGTTGCGGGCACATCCCCAGTAGGGTGTGTGCAGGAGGCAGCTGATCAATGTTTCTCTCTCATCGATGTTTCTAACTCTCTATCCCTCTCCCTTCCTCTCTGTAAAAAATCAATAAAATATATTAAAAAAAATCTGTATATTGCTTTGGATAATATGTCCATTGTTACTATGGTGATTCTTCCAATTCATAAATATGGAATACCTTTCCAACTTATTGTGTCTTTTTCAAACTTTTTTAATAATATCTTGCAGTTTTCAGTGTACAGGTCCTTCACATCCTTTGTTCAGTTTATTCCCAGGTATTCTACTTTTGTTGCAATTGCAAAAGGATTTTTTGTTATTGTTGTTCATTTTTTAGTTTGTTTTTAAAATGTCATTGTTAGTATATGGGAAAGCAGATCAGTGTATTTTTGTATATTAATTTTGTATCCTGCCACTTCCTGCATTTGTTCATTGTTTCTAATAGTTTTTTGGTGGTGTCTTTAGAGTTTTTTATATAAAGAATCATGTCATCTACAAACGGTGGCACTTTCACTTCTTCATTCCCAAATTGGATGCCTTTTATTTCTTTCTCTTGCCTGATTACTCTGGCTAGGACTTCCAGTACTATTTTATCCTAGAGGCCCAGTGCATGAAATTCGTGCACTTGGGTTCCCTCAGCCCTGCCTGTGCCCTCGCGCAGTCCGGGAGACCTCGAGGGATGTCCAATTGCCACAGAGGTGGGAGAGGCTCCCACCACCGCTGCTTCGCTTGCCAGCCGTGAGCCCGGCTTCTGGCCGAGCAGTGCTCCCCCTGTGGGAACGCACTGACCACCAGGAGACAGCTCCTGCATTGAGTGTCTGCCCCCTAGTGGTCAGTGCGCATCATGGCGACTGGTCAATTTGCATATTAGCCTTTTATGCCTGCGGGATCGGGCTGTAACTGGCTCTCCGACATCCCCCTAGGGGTCCCGGATTATGAGAGGGTGCAGCCAAGCTGAGGGACCCCACTGGTGCATGATCACGGCTGGGTAGGGACGCGGGAGGTTGGCCAGCCAGGGATGGATCACGGGAGGGGTCCAGGGTATGTGCGGCCATCTCGCTCAGTCCTGATTGGCCAGATCCCAGCAGCAAGCTAACCTACCAGTCAGAGTGTCTTCCCCCTGGTGGTCAGTGCACGTCATAGCGAGCAGTTGAGCGTCCTTAGCATATCATTACCATATTACTCTTTGATTGTTTAAACGGCTGACGGGACACAGCATATTAGGTTTTTATGCTAAGTGTCCAGCCGGTCGGTGTGCAGCGCATTGACCACCAGAGGGCAGATGCTCAATGCACTGGCCATTTACAGAGAAATGGCACTGCGGACCTTGTGCCCACAAAGCAACACTTGGCTTACCCCAAGTGGGACACAGGCCCCACCACCACCCCAGAGCGACAGCCCACCAAATTGATGCTGATGCTGCCGAGACCCCATGGCGCAAAATGCAGCCCACAACCCAACTCAGCCTGGAAATGGTTGCTGTGGGCGCCAGGTAATGATGTCACGTAGCAATGCCTGGCTTCCTCTCCCTAGCGACGACTAGCCTCCTTGCAGTTTTTTCAGCTCAGGAACACAACTTCCTTTATAGTCAGGTGCAAACATTTCACACTTTAAATGTCTGTGAAGCATTTTCCCGAGCCTCATCTCGTTTGATCTTCACAGAAGTCCTGGAGTAGGTAGATAGGAGACTCGGTGGAATTCTATTTTCTTTTCATTAGCCGGAAAACGGAAATTTAGAAAGTTTAGAAACTTGTTCCAACTGGAAAGAAATTAGAAATGGTGGACCTTGGAAATGACTTCAGGTTTTCTCACTGCGCAGATTATAGTCAAACACTGCTGCAGTTAAATATTTTACCCTTTGTTCTCTCTGCATGATCTACAATAATAATTTGCTTCATGTTGATATTTACTGCTGTGTTGTTGACAATTACTTGAAAGAGAAGTTGGGGTGCTTCACTGGGATGGAAAAAGTTTAGCAAAATCAGAAAGCAGGTCTAATTAAGCAAATTTATTCTGTATATATAAAAGACTAAGTTGATTTGTGTATGTTGAACCATCCTTGTACCCTGGAATGAACCTTTGATCATGGTATATTATTTTTTAATGTACTATTGTATTCAATTTGCTAGTATTTTATTTAGGGTTTTTGCATCTGTACTCATCAGAGATATTGGTCTGTAAGTTTATTTTTCTGTGTTATCTGTGCCAGGTTTTGGTATCAAGGTTATGTTGACCTTATAAAATGTATTAGGAAGTATTGGCTCTTCAGTTTTTTAGAAGAGTTTGAGCAGGATATGTATTAAATATTCTTTGAATTTTTGATTCAAAAATTCACTGGTGAAGCCATCTGGTCCTGCACTTTTGGCTTTTAGAAGGTTTATTTTGTTGTGGGGAGTTGTTTAGTTTGGTTTATTTTTTGTTTTGGTTTGTTTGTTTGTTTGTTTTTGTTAATCCTCACCCAAGATTTTTTTTTACATTGATTTTTATTTTTTTAGAGAGAGTGGAAGGGAGTGGGAGAGAGTGAGAAACATCAATGTGAGAGAGACACATCAATTGGTTGCCTCCTAAACGTGTCCCAATCAGGGTCCTGGATTGAGCCTATAACTGAAGTACGTGCCCTTGGCAAGAATCAAACCCAGGACCCTTCAGTCTTTGGGCCAATGCTCTACCCTATGAGCCAAACTAGCTATGGCTTGTTTGTTTTTTGTTTGTTCTTTTATGTTTTCATTGATTTTTTTTAATATTCAAACCTTTTGTTTATTTACTTATTTATTTTTTAATCTTTATTGTTGAGAGTATTACAGGTGTCCCGACCACCCTCTCCCCTCCTCCCTCTGAGATTCATCAGTCTGTTTCATGATTCCATGCCTCTGTTTCTATTTTATTCATCAGTTTATTTTGTTCATTAGATTCCTTGCATGTGTTACCTGTGTATGTGTAGTGTTATAATACGGTGTGGTCTGAAGCTGTCCACTGAGTGCACTGGCAGGAGCTACAGAGCGATCTGCAGTTGGCTGCTATTTGTATTGGGCTTGGAGGTGCCCAGGCGAGGCCTAGCTGTGAAGCAAGGCATGCTGCTGCTGGTGCTGGGTCTTGGGCTTCTTATTAAGAGGTATGGAGCATGCTGATGCCAGCTTCTGCTTGTTTTAGCTATTTTAGGAAAGACTGAAGCCTGAGCAAGGACAGGCCATTCATATGGAAAAGCCACTACAAACAGCTTAGGTGGGGCTGCAGATTGAGTGGGACGGGGTTTTAGAACACCAGGGTGGAGCGAACAGTGTGAGCAAGGTTGATGGAGACAGATATGACACCTGTCAGTCAGCTCTGGGACAGGAGGGATTAGGAGGGAGGTCTCAGCATAGGAATGATGAACCCCTGTGAGCACTCCTTTCTGGGAGAAAGCCACATTCTAGTTCTTGCTCTGCTGCCAGACAATCCAGTTCCTTCCCATATGTCCCTGGATCCCCCCCTGAGCAAGTCTGAGTAAGTCTGTGTAATCATCCCTTTAAGAGGAACTGCTGGGACTCCATGTCACTCAGCCTCAATCCCTGCTTGTTTTTATAGCCTGAAGTTATGGGGACTTCTCTTTCCAACACTGGAACCCTGGACTGAGGGGTCTTGTGTGTGGCATGTGCTTTCTTATTTACTTCTCTAGTTGTAGGACTTCCATTCAGCCAGATTTCAACTGGGTCTGAATGATGGTTGTTCTGTATTTTAGTTATTTATTTTTA